TCGACCTATCGATCACGTTTTGCAGTATAACAATATACTGTTTTAATCATAAATGGATCCAGGATAAATATAACAATATGTTAATCAATAATGTAATGACAAATACAGCTATCATATTAACGAGGCGTAACTAGGACCTTGAGTTTTTCCCGACCACATGAGTTGACCAGGAAAAGGAAAAACTCAGGGAACTAAATTATAGACCAAAACTGGGGCCCAGAGTTTTTCCTCAATTTCATGGTCACATACAGTTGAAGTAGGAAGTTTACATAAACTTAGGTTGGAGTCATTAAAACTAGTTTTTAAACCACTACACACATTTCTTGTTAACAAACTATAGTTTTGGCAAGTCGGTTAGGACATCTACTTTGTGCATGACACAAGTAATTTTTACAACAATTGTTTACAGACAGATTATTTCACTTATAATTCACTGTATCACAATTCCAGTGGGTCAGAAGTTTACATACACTAAGTGTCACGCCCTGGCTCTGGGGACTCTTGTATGTTGAGCTAGGGTGTGAGTTTTCATTGTTTTGTGTTCTAGTTTGGTATTTCTATGTTGGCCAGGGTGGTTCCCAATCAGAGACGGCTGTAGCTCGTTGTCTCTGATTGGGAGCCATACTTAGGTAGCCGTTTGGCATTGTTTTGGTGTGGTATCTTGTTCCGTTTGGTTTGTGTAACCGTAGGACTTCACGTTTCGTATCGTTTGTTGTTTTGTTCGTTGTGTTGTACATTTAATAAATATTATGTACGCATATCACGCTGCGCCTTGGCCCGCTTCTTCTCAAGACGATCGTGACAGAAGATACCACCTCGACTGGGTCAAGCAGCGTGAGGAGGAGAGAGGCTGGACTTGGGAGCAGAGGAGCGAGAGTCTGGCGAGAGCCATGGAGGCCTGGCCCACGGGGAGGAGAGACGCCCAGAACATTTTTAGGGGGGGGCTCACGCCGTGGACGACGGGGCAGCAGGAGACCGGGATAGAGTGGTTCAGCGGGTTGGCAAAGGAGGCCGCCAGGTTACGGGAGTCACTGGTCACCAGGGGGAAGGAGAATGTAGAGGCACGGCGAGAGGTGCTGGGGTGTGTTGCCAGTCCAATCCGGCCCGTTTCTGATCCCCGCGTAGGGCCAGTGGTGCGTGTCGCCAGCCCGGTCCGGCCTGTTCCTGCCCCTCGCACCAAGCCAGTGATGCGCGTCGTCAAACCGGTCCGGCCTGTTCCTGCTCCCCGCACCAAGCCAGTGGTGCGCTTCGTCAGCCCGGTTCGGCCCGTCCCTGCTCCCCGCACCAAGCCAATGGTGCGCGTCGTCAGCCCGGTCCGGCCCGTCCCTGCTCCCCGCACCAAGCCTGTGGTGCGCGTTGTCAGTCCGGCACAGCCCGTGCCTGTTCCACCGGTGGCTGGTCCGGCACCGGTCAGCTGCTCCACTCCGGAGCTAGAGCAATCCGCTCCACCAGTGTTCAGTCCAGCTCCGGCCAGCAGGGCCAGACCGGACCAGGGGCGCTTTGGGGGGTTAGAGAGGGAGTGGGGGTCATGCCCGGAGCCGGATCCGCCGCCGAGGCGGAGTGCCCACAAAGATCGTACCTTTTGGAGAAATGTCCTCTGGTCTGATGAAACAAAAATATAACTGTTTGGCCATAATGACCATCGCTATGTTTGGAGGAAAAAGGGTAAGGCTTGCAAGCTGAAGAACACCATCCCAACCGTGAAGCATGGGGGTGGCAGCATCATGCTGTGGGGGTGCTTTGCTGCAGGAGGGACTGGTGCACTTCACAAAATAGATGGCATCATGAGGAAGGAAAATTATGTGGATATATTGAAGCAACATCTCAAGACATCAGTCAGGATGTTAAAGCTTGGTCGCAAATGGGTCTTCCAAATGGACAATGACCCCAAGCATACTTCCAAAGTTGTGGCAAAATGGCTTAAGGACAACAAAGTCAAGGTATTGGAGTGGCCATCACAAAGCCCTGACCTCAATACTATAGAACATTTGTGGGCAGAACTGAAAAAGCGTGTGCGAGCAAGGAGGCCTACAAACCTGACTCAGTTACACCAGCTCTGTCAGGAGGAATGGGACAAAATTCACCCAACTTATTGTGGGAAGCTTGTGGAAGGCTACCCGAAACGTTTGACCCAAGTTAAACAATTTAAAGGCAATGCTACCAAATACTAATTGAGTGTATGTAAACTTCTGACCCACTGGGAATGTGATGAAAGAAATAAAAGCTGAAATAAATCATTCTCTCACTATTATTCTGGCATTTCAAATTCTTAAAATAAAGTGTGGATCCTAACTGACCTAAGACAGGGAATTCGTACTAGGATTAAATGTCAGGAATTGTGAAAAACGGAGTTTAAATGTATTTGGCTAAGGTTTATGTAAACTTCCGACTTCAACTGTAGTTACCTCATGAAAAACTCAGGGGCCCTAGTCATGACCTTTGGCCTCTGACCTCTGTGTGTCAGGTGTGATTGTGACGGCGCGGCGGTTCGACCGGGAGAGACAGAGAGAGTACTCCATCACGGTGACGGCTACAGACTGGGCTGAGGAGCCCCTCATAGGGATCTGCCAGCTCAACGTCCTCATCCTGGACCACAATGACAACAGCCCCAAGTTTGAGAACCTGCGCTATGAGTGTGAGTGTCGTATTATACATAATAACACATGATAAAGTATAATACTAATACATATGATTGATGGCAGACTGACCATTCGTTATCATGCTATAGACTATTAACCAAAGCTATTAGAAAAGGTTTTATGTACTATGAGTTATGCATAGTAACTCTTTACAGTGGCTTGCGAAAGTATTCACCCCACTTGGCATTTTTCCTATTTCGTTACCTTACAACCTGGAATTTTTAGGGGGTTTGTATCATTTCATTTACACAACATGCCTACCACTTTGAAAATATGTTTTATTGTGAAACAAACAAGAAGTAAGACAAAAAAACTGAACTTGAAAGTATTCACCCCCCCCCCCCCCCCCCCCCCCCCCCCCCCCCCGGGCTTTGACTAGGCCATTCCAAGACATTTAAATGTTTCCCCTTAAACCACTCAAGTGTTGCTTTAGCAGTATGCTTAGGGTCATTGTCCTGCTGGAAGGTGAACCTTCGTCCCAGTCTCAAATCTCTGGAAGACTGAAACAGGTTTCCCTCAAGAATTTCCCTGTATTTAGTGCCATCCATCACTCCTTCAATACTGATCAGTTTCCCAGTCCCTGCCAATGAAAAACATCACCACAGCATGATGCTTCACTGTGGGTATGGTGTTCTCGGGGTGATGAGAGTTCTTGGGTTACCGCCAGACATAGCGTTTACCTTGATGTTTGGGGAGACTCCCACATGCCTTTTGGTGAACACCAAACGTGTTTGCTTATTTTTTTCTGTAAGCAATGTTTTTTTCTGGCCACTCTTCCATAAAGCCCAACTCTGTGGCGTGTACGGCTTAAAGTGGTCCTATGGACAGATACTCCAATCTCCACTGTGGAGCTTTGCAGCTCCTTCAGGGTTATCTTTTGTGTCTTTGTTGCGCCTCTGATTAATGCCCTCCTTGCTTGGTCCGTGAGTTTTGGTGGGCGACCCTCTCTTGGCAGGTTTGTTGTGGTGCCATATTCTTTCCATTTTTTAATAATGGATTTAATGGTGTTCACCCAAGGGATGAATACTTTTGCAAGGCACTGTACTTAATTATCTGGTGAAAGTTTTCATCGTAATCCATTGTCTTTAAATGTTTTGCCATACATAAAGATGTAAACATACATAAACATATGTAAACAATTGATTTGTGATCTATTGATTCAGTCTACACTGTTCACCAAAGTTGTGACAGACCGTAACCTTGCTCCAGAGTGAGGAGCATATTGTTTGGTCTGTATTGTCTCTCACAGACTTTCTGAGAGAGGACACCATGATCGGCACCAGTTTCCTGCGTGTGGCGGCGCACGATGATGACTTTGGCACCAACGCCGTCGTCACCTACTCCATGTCCCAGGAGAAGCCTGAGTACCTGAGGGTCAACCCCGTTACCGGCTGGGTGTACGTCAACCAGCCCATATCACAGGTCTGTCACATAACCAGTCAGTCAATCAGCCCATCTCACAGGTCAGTCAATAAGTCAGTTAACCAGCCAGTCAACCAGCCCATATCTCAGGTCAATTAACCAGACAGTCAGCCTGCCCATATCACAGGTCAGTCAACCAGTCAGTCAACCAGCCAGTCAACCAGCCCATATCACAGGTCAGTTAACCAGCCAGTCAACCAGACTCTTGCTCAATCACAGTAGAAATCATGAGTGCAGGGTGATAGAGCTGTATAAAATACAGTGTCATAAACTAACTGAACCATACCCTCGCTATTGTTTTGACGTCAGAGGTCCTACATCACACGGGAAATAGTTGCTACGGACGGGGGGAACCGCAGCACATCTGTGGAGCTGTCTGTCACCATTACCAACGTGAAGAACCAGCCCCCGCAGTGGGAAAAGGACAGCTACAGCGTGGTCATCCCAGAGAACACAGCCAGGGACACCCCCATCGTGGTGCGTGGAACAGTCCGGGTACCAGCCTGGGTGGCATGGGAAGCCTATCCCATTATGGCCTTTGGGGGTGTCTTGGTTTTATTTATTTTGTTTGCTGGCTGCATACACGTTAGTCAATTTGTTGGAACAATTTTGATGAATTGTTAAGTTAATTACATTTTCGGTTGCAGCCTCGGATTTAGTCAAGGAGCGCTAATTGACTTGACTAACCTGCTGTAATTTGCAATTTAATTGACTTAGCATGCTCAACAACTGAATAAACGTAATATTATACAGAAAATCCCATTGAATGTTTTTGTCGTAATTCCCTCGCAAAAACATTGTTTGCTCTCTGTTTACGTCAGACGATCAAAGCGACCTCGTTGCTAGGCGACCCCAGGTTGACTTATAACCTGGAGGAGGGCGTGGTCCCGGAGACTAATATGCCTGTGCGCTTCTACCTGTCGCCCAACCGCGAGGACAGCTCTGCCTCCATCCTTGTGTCGGAGCCGCTGGACTATGAGACCACACCCAGTTTTTCCCTGAGGGTGCGGGCACAGAACGTGGCGGCTGTACCACTGGCTGCATTCACCACCATCTATGTCAACGTCACAGGTAGGTCTCAGCTCAGACACCCTGCAAACACCCCATCACGGGGGGCAAATCCTAACTTCCATTTACGTCAAATGTTTCACTTAGTCTTGCATGGATGTCAGTGGGAAACTTATTGAACATTTGACTTAAGAGGAAGTTAGAGCCACCCCTGGGTGAACTGTAAACATTCGCTATTGTCTTCAATGGACATTGAACCATGACTTATATATTTTTTACATAGTATTCTTTGAAAGTTGTAATTTTATACACCCATTAGCACAAAGTCAGTGAAAAACCTCCATACTGAACCTTTTTTAACTTGAAATAGACCGTTTTGATTACAGGTGCATAAATACATTTTCAAATAATGATTTCTCATATGTTGGCCCTCAGACGTGAACGACAATGTTCCCTTCTTCACCTCCTCCATCTATGAGGCATCAGTGACTGAGGGAGCCAAGGTGGGGACCATGGTCCTCCAGGTGTCTGCTCACGACAAGGACCTGGGTCTCAACGGACAGGTTAGTGGCCCATCCACAACATCTAACATAACACAACACAACAGAATATCCATTGACCCATCCATAATTTAGCATCACATAGTTCTTCTGCTTGTGGCGCTTTGACCACACAACTGTGAAGGTGTACTTACAGTATACAGTGAGGGAAAAAAGTATTTGATCCCCTGCTGATTTTGTACGTTTGCCCACTGACAAAGAAATTATCAGTCTATCATTTTAATGGTAGGTTTATTTGAACAATGAGAGACAGAATAACAACTAAAAAATCCAGAAAAACCCATGTCAAAAATGTTATAAATTGATTTGCATTTTAATGAGGGAAATAAGTATTTGACCCCTCTGCAAAAAATTACATAGTACTTGGTGGCAAAACCCTTGTTGGCAATCACAGAGGTCAGACGTTTCTTGTAGTTGGCCACCAGGTTTGCACACATCTCAGAAGGGATTTTGTTCCACTCCTCTTTGCAGATCTTCTCCAAGTCATTAAGGTCTTGAGGCTGACGTTTGGCAACTCAAACCTTCAGCTCCCTCCACAGATTTTAAATGGGATTAAGGTCTGGAGACTGGCTAGGCCACTCCAGGACCCTAATGTGCTTCTTCTTGAGCCACTTCTTTGTTGCCTTGGTGGTGTGTTTTGGGTCATTGTCATGCTGGAATACCCATCCACGACCAATTTTCAATGCCCTGGCTGAGGGAAGGAGGTTCTCACCCAAGATTTGACGGTACATGGCCCCGTCCATCGTCCCTTTGATGCAGTGAAGTTGTCCTGTCCCCTTAGCAGAAAAACACCCCCAAAGCATAATGTTTCCACCTCCATGTTTGACGGTGGGGATGGTGTTCTTGGGGTCAAAGGCAGCATTCCTCCTCCTCCAAACACGGTGAGTTGAGTTGATGCCAAAGAGCTCCATTATGGTCTCATCTGACCACAACACTTTCACCCAGTTCTCCTCTGAATCATTCAGATGTTCATTGGCAAACTTCAGACAGGCATGTATATGTGCTTTCTTGAGCAGTGGGACCTTGTGGGCGCTGCAGGATTTCAGTCCTTCACGGCGTAGTGTGTTACCAATTGTTTTCTTGGTGACTATGGTCCCAGCTGCCTTGAGATCATTGACAAGCTCCTCCCGCGTAGTTCTGGGCTGATTCCTCACTGTTCTCATGATCATTGCAACTCCACGAGGTGAGATCTTGCATGGAGCCCCAGGCCGAGGGAGATTGACAGTTCTTTTGTGTTTCTTCCATTTGCAAATAATCGCACCAATTGTTGTCACCTTCTCACTAAGCTGCTTGGCGATGGTCTTGTAGTCCATTCCAGCCTTTTTTCCCTCACTGTATGAGGATAGTGTTGCAGTGACTTGAGTCTCTATGAACAGTCCTGTGACTCATACATAGAACAATTACTCCCCCGCACTCATGATTACTACAGCACGGTTTATCGTTGGTGTTTCCATCGGTTGCAGTGACCACATGGATGTGATAGAATGATTCTGTATGGCATCCATATTAGGAAGTTGTCAAATGTATGTAATGTGTTGACTTCCTAATATGGATGCCATATAGAAGTCAGAAATCTTCTAATATGGATACCGTAATGAACTGTACTCTGTCCCTGTCCTATAGATCACCTACTCCCTCCTGAGTGACAGTAGTGGGGACCACCGTCTGTTTCGTGTGGATCCAGAGCTGGGCTCCATCTATACAGAAGCTGTGTTTGACCGCGAGGCGCAGGGATCGTACCTACTGGAGGTGCAGTCTGAAGACGGCATGGAGTCAGCAAGGCCTGGGAGGAACAAACAGCCCAACTTTGGTGAGGGCTGGGTTGTATTTATTAGGGCACAACATAGCAAAACGTATTTTTTTCGATTTGCAGTGATGTTCGGTATCTCCTGATTTGACTACTGCAGTCATGTAAAAACAAAAAAGGCAGGGGCTGCGGAGCCTACTTTTCCCGGACCTGAAGCTTATGCGCATGTGTTTCTTTACTAAATTTGTGTGGTCTCCTTCCCTTCACATTTCTCACTGTCAGTCTTGAATTATTATTATTCATAATTATTATAATATAATGTTCATGAAGCATCTGCATACCAACCATTGTATCTCAATCAGTTTCATGGGAAAATGTATATAGATATTCTTAAGTTATACAGTGTTGTTTCGAAGTAGCCTACAGCGTTGTTTTAAATTGTGTACAGTGAGCGAATTTTAGAGCAGATGGTGTTAACAAACTAGCATAGCCTACCTGTGTATTTTGCCTAGTGGCCTGCCTGTGTATTTTGCCTAGTGGCCTACCTGTGTATTTTGCCTAGTGGCCTACCTGTGTATTTTGCCTGTTGAGTTTTGTCCACATGAGAAATGTGGTGGTGTTTTTGTCGTACAGTAATGTTATACTATGCTATTATATTTGGTTCTGTTATGTAGAATACTATCATTATGTGATTGTGCAGACATTGATTCAGCTTTGATCTAACTTTATTAAACCAGCACCATTCACCAGAGTAGCCTGTTTTTTACAAATAAAGTAGAGCATGAACACATGCGCAGAAGCTTCGGGATCTTTAGTCCGGAGAAAAAAAGGTCAGAGAAAAGTTGGGTCCGCAGCCAAAGAATACAAAGTGAAGTACTGTAATGTATATAGCTAGGGCTTTTCATAAACCCAATGTGCTCGGCTGAAACAAAGTACAAAATGAATTCCTGCACATTGTTTTACATAGACAAGAATTGCCTATTGCATTCTATTAATTTGCCTCCTGCGAGGGCATATGAAAAGATCATCTTTGATTTGATTTCTTCTAATAGCGTAACCGGACAGCCTCTCTTCCCTGTAGAAAAACATTCTGAGGGTTGTGGTACATAATTTTACAAAAACATCTAATTTAGCAGTTTACTGTTCAGAAATCTGCATTTCTGTTTGGCTTGGTCCTTCATGATGACAGAATGAACTCTGTTTCGGTATCGCAGGTGATGTAATAGGAAGCTTTGCGTTACGAATTAGGGTTTTTTAACAAATGTTTGTGGATAAGGTAATAGTGGTAAGGGTGATGGTTTTGAACAGCAAAGCCTCCTCTCCGGGGGATGTGAGGGGGCTGCTTAGCATTTCCAATGAGCCTTAGCGCTGTGTTGGCGTTGTCTTCTGCCACATATCTGCACCAGCAGAAGTGCTCATCTCCTTAGCAAATACTACTGTCTGTCGGGAGAGGGAGAGGGATGAAAAAGAAAGAGAGAGAGCGAGAGAGAGAGAGGGGGGGGGGGGGGGTAGAGGGGGATAGGGCCAGGAAGAGAGGGAGAGGGAGGGAGGAAGGGAGAGCGTGCAGAGAAATGCAGAGAGAAGTGGTGAAAATAGACGCACATTTGTATACATGGCCATGTTGCATGTCCTTCTAAACATACCACTTACGACAAACATGTCACCAACATTTTTTGAAAAATATAATTATATTTGAGTAAAAAAATTAAGATGTGAAAAAGGACCCAGACAGACAGAGACGTAAACACTTGTCGACTGATACATATTTTATCATCCCAGAGGAGAGGTGGATAGGTTCTTCTTCTGTTTGTTTTTTTAGAAAAGTCTGTTTGTTTGCTGCCAAAATGTAACCCAGCTAAAACAGTGAACCGTCTACCATGGTTCAATAATTTCAGTAATTCCAAACACCTAATCGAGAATTACATTATTTCTGATTTTTTTGTCAAGTGAGGCACATTACATTGGGTTAAGTGCTTCTCTCCCCTTCAAAAGTGTTGTTGGCTCACACTGTGACTGCCAACATCCTCTGATGTAAAGAGGGATTGGATGGAATGAGAAGTGTTAGGATGAGAGGAGAGTGAGAGAGGAGGATGACATACCGAGTTGTTGCTCCATGGCGTTTAATCTCCTTCCTCTTGTTGTTCTTCTTGCAGACACAGCATATGTGCGGGTTTTCATCAGCGACGTGAACGATAACAAACCTGTCTTTGCTCAGCGTCTCTATGAAGTCGGCGTTGACGAGGACGCAGATGTCGGCCTGGCTGTTGTCACCGTCAGTGCTAATGACGAAGATGAAGGTATGGAAGGAAAGATGAGATGGCAGGGGAAGAAAGAGAGAGAATAAAACCAGTGATGACACATTTCTCTTTTTCTCGGGAGTGCAGGTTATGGCACTAGGGCAGTGAGGAAGGTAACCTGGCACAGGTTCAACATTTCATGAGGACTTTTGAAACCTGAGGGGAAAAGTCTGTTTTTCACATTTTGTGCCTGGCCAAAACTGTCCTTGGGCAGGGGTGACTGTCAATCAAATATTGAAATTTTCCCGAACCCCAGACTCTAGTAAATTGTCTAGTTTCTGAGAGGGCAGTGAAGGGTTACAAATGTTCAAAAATGACTCACCACAAGTGCCACATCTCCACATCTGGATTCAGTTCTGATTAAATCATGCTGAGACGAGATGAGCTGAGCCACCCTGTGCTACATTAGGACGCAGCAATTTAATCGTCAAGTAATGCAACACCACATATGTTCTAAAAAGAAAGACACACTCCTACACAGTAGGTGGGTGGGATTTGGTGTGATAAACCAGCTCATCCCCTGTACAGCAGCAACACTCTGCGGAATATCCCTTTATCGGCCATGTTTTGGGTTGTTAATCAAGTATTTATCGCAAGTGGGGGTCGGTGCGGCTTAGCTTGTAGGGTATGTAGCGCTAGCCTCAACCAAGCCATGATGAACGACCAGAAAGCACCAGCCCCCTACATTTGAAGTTAGCAGTTCTGCTCGGGAGGCTAAACCCAATCTGTCTTGTTTAAAAAATCCACACGGACTCGACTGCAGTATAAGCTTATCGGAGAGCCCAGAGGGAGCGCTTTGTCTGTTGATTTATGTTAATAGCAGAGATTAGACTAGCATTTACATTGGGCTTTAACACAACAGACTGATTGAAAGGGGAGCCATGAAACATCCAGGGGATTAATTTATCTGGCTAACGTTAACCCACTGTATGGCGTCCATGGAGACACACTGGTGAAGTTCAGATATCTACTTCCTCATTGGTCCATTTCTCAAACCCTCAAGGTAACATAGGCAGGGGTTCAATTTGGCAGGTGTATCTTACACAGGAATGGAGTCCTACCACCTGTTGACATACAGCACAGTCTGTTTCTGCTCTAGCCAACATGTCATTGTCTTGTTAAAAAAGGTACCAATAACATAAACTTGTTGAATGCAGGAACAGTCTGGCACATACAGTGAGGGAAAAAAGTATTTGATCCCCTGCTGATTTTGTACGTTTGCCCACTGACAAAGAAATGATCAGTCTATAATTTTAATGGTAGGTTTATTTGAACAGAGAGACAGAATAACAAGAAAAAAATCCAGAAAAACGCATGTCAACAATGTTATACATTGATTTGCATTTTAATGAGGGAAATAAGTATTTGACCCCCTCTCAATCAGAAAGATTTCTGGCTCCCAGGTGTCTTTTATACAGGTAACGAGCTGAGATTAGGAGCACACACTTAAAGGGAGTGCTCCTAATCTCAGCTTGTTACCTGTATAAAAGACACCTGTCCACAGAAGCAAGCAATCAATCAGATTCCAAACTCTCCACCATGGCCAAGACCAAAGAGCTCTCCAAGGATGTCAGGGACAAGATTGTAGACCTACACAAGGCTGGAATGGGCTACAAGACCATCGCCAAGCAGCTTGGTGAGAAGGTGACAACAGTTGGTGCGATTATTCGCAAATGGAAGAAACACAAAAGCACTGTCAATCTCCCTCGGCCTGGGGCTCCATGCAAGATCTCACCTCGTGGAGTTGCAATGATCATGAGAACGGTGAGGAATCAGCCCAGAACTACACGGGATAATCTTGCCAATGATCTCAAGGCAGCTGGGACCATAGTCACCAAGAAAACAATTGGTAACACACTACGCCGTGAAGGACTGAAATCCTGCAGCGCCCGCAAGGTCCCCCTGCTCAAGAAAGCACATATACAGGGCCGTTTGAAGTTTGCCAATGAACATCTGAATGATTCAGAGGAGAACTGGGTGAAAGTGTTGTGGTCAGATGAGACCAAAATTGAGCTCTTTGGCATCAACTCAACTCGCCGTGTTTGGAGGAGGAGGAATGCTGCCTATGACCCCAAGAACACCATCCCCACCGTCAAACATGGAGGTGGAAACATTATGCTTTGGGGGTGTTTTTCTGCTAAGGGGACAGGACAACATCACCGCATCAAAGGGACGATGGACCATCAAATCTTGGTTGAGAACCTCCTTCCCTCAGCCAGGGCATTGAAAATGGGTTGTGGATGGGTATTCCAGCATGACAATGACCCAAAACACACGGCCAAGGCAACAAAGGAGTGGCTCAAAAAGAAGCACATTAAGGTCCTGGAGTGGCCTAGCCAGTCTCCAGACCTTAATCCCATAGAAAATCTGTGGAGGGAGCTGAATGTTCGAGTTGCCAAACGTCAGCCTCGGAAACTTAATGACTTGGAGAAGATCTGCAAAGAGGAGTGGAACAAAATCCCTCCTGAGATGTGTGCAAACCTGGTGGCCAACTACAAGAAACGTCTGACCTCTGTGATTGCCAACAAGGGTTTTGCCACCAAGTACTAAGTCATGTTTTGCAGAGGGGTCAAATACTTATTTCCCTCATTAAAATGCAAATCAATTCATAACATTTTTGACATGCGTTTTTCTGGATTTTTTAGTTGTTATTCTGTCTCTCACTGTTCAAATAAACCTACCATTAAAATTATAGACTGATCATGTCTTTGTCAGTGGGCAAACGTACAAAATCAGCAGGGAATCAAATACTTTTTTCCCTCACTGTATGCTAGCTAACATAATATACACTGAGGTATGTCCAAAAAAGGCCCTGCATTAGACTAGTGTCCTGTCCAGGGGGTGTACTTGTACAGTACATCAAGCTGCCTCACGCTACAGAAACAGGAGATAGGCTCTTGCCAAGGCTCGTGCAAGGTTACTTACTTACCTTTGTCCAAAATGGCAGCCTATTTCCTATATAGTGCACTTTAGAGTATTATGTAGGGAATAGGGTGCAATTTCAGACTTGCCCTAATTCTAAGAACAGCATCCAGAACTCCACCTTCCAGAATGCCAATTTCTTCTGGTCCCTCCACAGGTGCCAACGCCAAGCTGCGCTATCAGATCACATCAGGCAACACTGGGGGGGTGTTTGACATGGAGCCTGAAGTAGGAACCATCTTCATCGCCCAGACTCTGGACTACGAGCTGCAGAAGAGGTACAAGCTGCTGGTGCTGGCATCGGACGGGAAGTGGGAGGACTACGCCGCTGTGGTGGTCAACGTGGTCAACAAGAACGACGAGGCACCAGTCTTCTCTATGAACGAGTACTATGGCTCAGTGACAGAGGAGCTGGATGGCTCGCCGGTCTTTGTGCTTCAGGTGTGTGTCTCAGAGTTCTTTCTCTAACCAGGGTGCCAGTCTGTTTCAGCTTGAGCAGTCAGGTACCGAGGCTCACACAACCATGTGAAATGTATGCTTCTGTATTTCATACTGTACATGTGCTAGCTGTAGCTGATCACTACAATAGCTGTCACTCTACAAGTTATTTCTGTCTCTAGCCTGAGTGCCTGTCTGTTTCTGCTTGAGTCAAGACAGTAGCTGTGTTCGAATACCCATACTAACATACTGTATACTACATACTTAATGAGTATATACTACATACTATATACTATTAGTTCATTTTAGTATACTGTAAATGAACGGTATCCTTTCAGTTGAGCGTACTAGCAATTTGCCTGTCTACCGGAAGGTGATGCTGTTGCTATGTAACCTCTTGCTAGCTTGTTAGCATAACAAATTACTAGTTAGACATTTTACGACTTCGGGTGTGTTCGTAAATTCAATCTGGAGTGCCAGAGAGCACTCAGAGTGTGCTCAGGGTGTTCGTAAATTCAGAGCGTTGTCTGATTGTCCGTTCGTAAATTCAAAGCGTACACTGGACGCTCTGGCCGTGGAGTAGGGTTGATCTGAGCGTTCTGACCTCACAACGGCAGTCAAGCACCCAAGCTAACTGGCTAAAGTTGACTAGCTTGCTAGCTACATCCAGACACAAATGAGAGAACACCTCACTCTGACCATTTTACTCGCCCAAGCAGAGCTGGTTAGGCTGTTTTCATGTTATCCAGAGCGTTGGCGACTAACTGTGCTGCTGGCAACAATTTCATTACGTTTTTTTGCCAATGTTTACTGACACCGGCCATATTCAACGGGTGTTGAGCGTTCGTAAATTATTCTGCGCTCTGGCACACTACGACGAGAGTGCTCTGAAATAGGAGTAGATTGCCAGATCGAATTTACGAACGCACCCGAATTAACAATGTCCATTGAGAACGCACAATAACTATTCCATTTAGCTAAGCTAAGAATGATGTGAATAATCAAGTCAATAAACGTTGGGTAGTTAGATAGCATATAGTTAATATACTGGCAAGTTTGATGTATTAGTAGTCAACTAACGTTAGGTAGCTAGCTAACATACCAGTACATACTGCCATAATGATATGCTATGCGGTTCATAAGGATAGGATAATAACAAATTGTCAGCCAACATCACGTGTAACTTATTTGAAAAGTCACGACTTCATTACATTGCTCAACATTTTCTTAACATTTGTCATAATTAGTTAAAGCAATGAATTTGTATCCGCTCTTGTCGGACTTCAGCTGCATATTTTCCGCCATTTTCTTCAAATCTGAAAACGTTGTGAAGCCACGCCCATTTTCGGAAGAATCGGGCCCTAAAAGCACGGAAATAGTGTCCACTGCTTGTATACATCGTGTTTTGGCGAATGTAGTACGACATCTGGGAACTTTTGGCATACTAACTATATCCAAATTATGACGAATAAGCATACTACATTCTCAATTTACATCACAAATAGTATGGTTAGTGCGGCTAGTATGAGTATTCGAACACAGCTATTGTTTTGTTGTTTGACAAGGCAGGGGTTCATTTTGAATGCACAAACAGTCAGGTACCCAGGATAATCTTTATCAAGCATAAATATCAAATCCATGCTTCTGTATGTTATGCATGTACATAACTAGTCTACTTTCTACTACATAACCAATGGCTGAGAAGATAGATTGATGGGATTTATGCTTATAAAGACAGCCACACACACACACAGACACAGATGTTGATGAGTTGTTTGTGTCTTTCCAGGTGACAGCCACAGACCCAGACAAGGATGCCGACCAGGTCGCCGTGCGCTACTCTCTTCATGGTCAGGGATCGGATTCTAAGTTTGTGATCGACGAGATCACAGGGAAAATGTACGCCCAGAAGACACTGGACCGCGAGGAGCGGGCAGTGTGGCGCTTTGTGGTCCTGGCCACAGACGAGGAAGGGGAGGGGCTCACCGGCTTCACTGATGTCATCATCAACGTGTGGGACATCAATGACAACGCGCCTTCCTTCGCCTGTGTGCCCGACGGCTGCCACGGCAACGTGGCCGAGAACTCGCCCCCAGGTACCTTCGTCATGGAGATGACGGCGACGGACCTTGACGACACAGCGGTGGGTCAGAACGCCATTCTCACCTACCGTATCATCAAGAACACGCGTGACGCGGACGCCGCCGACTTCTTCACCATTGACGCCAGTACAGGCACTATCTCAGTGGCGACTGCTGGGCTGGACAGGGAGATGGCAGAGCGGCACCAACTGGTGGTTGAAGCCAAGGATGGAGGGGGTATAATGGGCACGGCTACCGCCACTATCATTATCATGGACCTGAACGACCATACCCCCCGGTTCAAAGACGAGTGGTGCGGGGCTCGTGTGTTTGAGAGCAGCCCTCCAGACTCAACCGTCCTGGAGCTGGACGCTGTGGACTCAGACTCAGGGCCTCACGGCCTGCTGGGCTTCAGTGTGGTGGCAGGGGACCAGGGGGAGAGGTTCTACATGGTGAGCCACAAAGCAGAGCAGTCTGGAACTCTGAGGCTGAGGAAGAGGCTGGATTACGAGAGGCCCGGTGAGCAGCTCTTCAACCTCACCATTCGTGTGGAAGACTCCGACTTCTCCAGCCTCATCCACTGCATCATCCAGGTGGTGGATGAGAATGACCACGTCCCAGTGTTCGCCCACACCTCCTATCCCCTCGCCCCTCTTCCAGAGGATGTTGCCGTGGGAACCAGCATCACCCAGGTGATGGCCAGCGACTTAGACTCTGACCTGAATGGGGAAATAATCTACAGCATCTCCCCAGAGTCAGACCCATACGGTCATTTCACAGTGGACAGCAACGGTGTCTTGACCGTGACCCGCCCACTGGACAGAGAAACCGTGGCCGAGTACCAGCTGGTTGTCCTAGCGACAGACCGAGGTAGTCCAGCATTGACGGGTAGTGCCACAGTCCAGCTGAGCCTGCTAGATGTGAATGACAATGGGCCAGAGTTGGAGGTGGCCTACAACCCTGTCCTCTGGGAGAACAGCCCTGCTCCACAGGTGGTGTGGCTCAACCAGACCTCCACCCTGCTCCATGTTATCGACAGGGACTCCCCCGAGAACGGGCCTCCCTTCTCCCTCTCCCTCCCTCGCCTCTACGCCCCTGACTTCCACCTGCAAGACCATGGCAACGGCACGGCAACGCTCACGGTGCTACACCGCTTCGACCGCGAGCGACAGAGGGAGTTCCTCCTGCCCATGGTCTTGACGGACAGCGGTCGTCCGCCAATGACAGTCACCAACACACTCACCATCACCGTGGGCGACCAGAACGACAACGCCCACCAGGAGGGAGAGAAGGAGATTTATGTCCACAGCCGGAGGGGTGAGTCCCTCACTTTAAGACAACTGTCAGACAACTTTTAGTCAACTTTTGGTATTCATGAAGAGTAGGAGTGTCTATGAGTAGTGCTGATTTAGGATCAGGTTTTTATTCCCCCTTTTATTCATTGTGATTTAAAAGGCAAAACTGATCCTATATCAGCAATCCAACTCTGAGATGCTTTGTAAATATGGGCCCAGGATTCTACCCAAGTTATCACAGCAGGGAGGATGCGGACAAAGAGTTGACTAAATAATTAAATGTTCTTTCTGTCTTTATGTGTACCTATTCTGTGTTGTCTGAATGCGTAATTGAAACACCTGCGGCTAATATTACAATTTATTTTCAGCATTTCATGATTCTTCATTGCAAATCCTTCCTTCAGGTTTAAGAACATTCTACCCCCCACACACTCTCCACTCTACTAATTGTATCTGGCCCTAATATTGACCTGAACATTACGAGGTCTGTGGTGTTCCTCAGGGGGGATTGTTAAGCCCATTAATATTCTGATCATGGACCTGGCTGTTTTAGTTTAGTTCAGTAATTGTGTGAAACACTGCAGCAACATGACACATACATTCATACAGGCTCCCATTGTTTACCCAGCTGCAGTACGCTGGCGCTGAGGCTCGATAATAACATAATCCCTACTGAGATAGCCCTGACTTCCTTAAGCCCTCAGCGCTCCTCACATCTCAAGTACTGGGAGTCTATTCAGCCCAGACAGTGGGACTTCACACTCATGAACAGAATAGGTGGAACAGAAACCGCAGAATCACAGAACAGCAAATAAGAAAAGGGCTAAAGATAAGCGACATGGAGGGAGAGAAGGAGATTTATGTCCACAGCCTATCACGTTGGTTTGGAAACCGTTGTTTTCAGACAAAATCAATGTATTTGTGTGCGTTGTACAGGAAGGATGCAGACTACTTCGCTGGGCAAGGTCTATGCCCCTGATCCTGATGATTGGGACAACAAGACCTACACCTTAGACGCAAGTGGAATGAAGTAGGTGTTATGTTTGTCTATAATGAGAGTGAGTCATAAGTAAGAACACAACATGTTATAGGAGCTCTCTATGTACAGAACAGTTAATCAGTTAAACAGTTAATATATGAGGGATACAAATAGAGATGGAAGGGATGGAGGATATCATGTAAAATCAACGTTACACCATTTCATACTTGGCCAACAAGTGCTTATTCAACATGTACATCTGATCTGATGGCCTCGACCCCTAAATAACATTTCCCATGTGTTACATGATGAAGAAATGTCAGGGGAGGAATAGAATCACTGTAATCAACAGTGATTGCTACTATGCTAAGCATTGCAATCATATTCAGAGCAATCAGAGGATGCATTTGTATCCTACTAACTGGTGGAATTGTGGGGGGAAAAGGATCAAGAATGTTTTCTCCACGATTGTTTGCAATTTAGCATCTAACACAGTCAGGGAGCAAAAGAAAAATCCCAATTGCATAATTTACACATTCCTGTTTTATTTATATAGCTTACATTTTACATTTTACATTTTTGTAATTTAGCAGACGCTCTTATCCAGAGCGACTTACAGTTAGTGAGTGCATACATTTTCATACTGGCCCCCCTTGGGAAACGAACCCACAACTACCCAAGGAGGGACTACTTGGCCTTGTCCAATAATATACACTCATTTCCATTTTTTTATGTTTTCCATTGCATGCCCTAATGAATACTACCCAGTCATTCAAGTTTTCCACAACATCTTTGTCCCACCAACAGGTATTTCACCTTAGACAAGAGTACAGGTCACCTGGCCATCAGACAGAATACCCTAGTGGGCAGCTACTATCTCAGAGTGGGCGTGTCTGATGGGGTGTGGCCGGACGTGGTGTCGGGGGTCACAGTTCACGTGCTGGAGCTGGAGGACAAGGCAATCCATTTGTCAGCCTCCCTGCGTCTCACAGGTAGGCTACAGCAGCGTGACAGTGTCATTCTAATCTACTCTACAGTCTATGATAGGGCCTTGTGTTTTGGTTAATCATGTCATGTTTTGGTTTAACCTTTCTTAAAGCGTTTTCATCAAACTGTCCCCTTTTCTTTTTATGTCATATGGTCCTCAGACAATTTCTTTCATTTTTGGTGTAATTCTCATTTCTGGAAAAGGCTTAAAATAATGGTTAAAATTCAGATCATGTGACATGATTAACCAAAACACAAGGCTCTCATGATAAGGGCTGTGTCTGAAAAGATTACTAGCTGTCAAATCCTTGTTTCCTCTGTCCTTATTGTTTACTCAATTCCTCTCAAAGCTCATTGGAGGAGAGGACTCAAGGTTTCCCTCTCGACCTCCTCATCCAATGAGCTTGGAGAGGAATTCAGCAAACAAGAACAGAAGAAGTAGGAATTTGACAGCTAGTGAGGTTTTCAGACAGAGCCTATGGCCACTAGTTTTTTTAAAGACTACAGTAAGTGACTTGACAGGAGAAACTTTGGGCCAAAAGTTTCTCTCGTCAGTCCACGTGATTAGTAAAAGCTTCAGGCCCTAGTCAAGTCATGACCCACTCATAGTTCAGCAACTACATTGTTTCTACTGCTGCTGCTGTTACTCCACAGCAGGGATGCTCTATAGGAGAAGATTATCTAACAAAGCTTATGTTGATACGAGCTCTGAGTCTGAACGTGTCGACGTGAGTTACTTTTTCCATTTGTTTTCCTTTCTCTCGCTCTCTATCACTCAACTTTCCACCCACACCAAGCATCTGTTTATTTGTTTTCTTTCGCTCCATTGTTGGAGAGATATAGAGTGTAGCTTTCAATAAATGTGTTTGGTTTGAGAAAGACAATAACTGCCAAGTTATTGTCATTATGATTGAATAAACTCAGACATTAAGTGGATGATTATGAGGTTGTCAAATTAATTAAGGGGGAATCAGTGTCTGCTCTCTGAATTGAAATAGGAGATAGAATAATAATGGTAAATAAAATAGTTTCACCTCGTGGGTGAGTGAATCGACGTGAGGTCAGCGTATATCAATCGAGAGGAATGTTGGAGATTCCATTTGCTAATAGAACCAAGACTGAGAATACTTTGATCAACTCCGCTTGCCAGTGAATAGTGAATGTTCTCTAGTTTTTAATGCCTGAGGTGTGTGTCTGTGTGCGTGTACGTGTGTATGTGTCTCTCTCTCTTCTTCTGTGTGTGTGTGTTTGTTTGTATTTCTTCCTTCTGCAGGCATCACTGCCAGGGGGTTTATTGAGTCCCAGATGGACAAGACGAGTCGACAGGATATGTTCAGGGGCTTCTTGTCTGAACACCTGTCCGTCAGATCAGGCGCCATCAACGTCTTCAGCCTGACAGACGTAGGAATGAAGACGCTGGACGTGCGCTTCTCTGTGCACAGCGACAGCTACCTTCACCCAGAGAAACTACATGGATACCTGGCAGCACATAGAAAGAAGGTACGCCTCAAAGTTTTCCCTTCTTGAAGATAGGGATCTTAGCTCATACATCTCAGGGTGCATAGCGGAGCATGGCATTCTCAATATCATTTCTTTATCAGCCAAGAGGTGCAGTGTGCATTCATATCTTTTTCATTAATGTTGTTCACACCAACTCTCCCCCTTGTATGTTCATATCTGCTTCCTCACTCTTTCTCTATCTCTCCCCACCTCCTTGCCTCTATCTTTTAAATCAAATCAAATAAAATGTTATTTGTCACATGCGCCAAATACAACAAGTGTAGACTTTTACCGTGAAATGCTTACTTACGAGCCCTTTCCCAACAATGCAGAGTCACTGCAACCCCCCTCCAGGTCTCTGATCACTACTTTGTTTCCTTTTCTGTCTCCCTCTACTCCAACCCTAACCACTCAGCCCTTACCCAGATGGTCATGCGCCGTCACAATCTTTGCTCGCTCTCTCCCACTACTCTCTCCTTTTCTATCCTATCATCTCTCCCTTCTGCTAAATCCTTCTCCCTCCTGATTCTGCCTCTTCGACCCTACTCTCCTCCCTTTCCGCATCCTATGACTCACACTGTCCCCTTTCCTCCTGGCCAGCTCGGCCCTCCCCTCCTGCTCCGTGGCTGAGTGACTCATTGTGAGCATACAGAACAGGGCTGCGGGCAGCTGAGCAAAGAAAACGTCTAGATGACCTATCATCCTTTCACTCTCTCCTCTCTACCTTCTCTTCTTCTGTATACGCTGCTAAGGCCGCTTTCTATCACTCTAAATGTCAAGCTTTTGCTTCTAAACCTAGGAAACTATTTTCCACCTTCTCCTCCATCCTTACTCCTCCCCTCCCTCCCGTCCCTCCTCCCTCTCTGCGGATGACTTTGTCAACCACTTTGAAAAGAAGGTTGACGACATACGCTCCTCATTCACTCAGCCAATTGGGTCCCACTCACACATAACTTCCCTACGCCTTGACCTCTTTCTACCCTCTCTCTCCAGATGAAATCCTGCAACTAGTGGAGGTCCTGCCGCCCAACAACCTGCCCGCTCAACCCAATCCCCTCCTCCATTCTCTGGAGACCTTCTCCCATTCCTCACTTCTCATCAACTCATCCCTGACCACTGGCTGTGTCCCCTCTGACTTCAAAATGGCCTGAGTTGCTCCCCTCCTCAAGAAACCGACATTCGACTCGGATGTAAAAAACTACAGACCAGTATCCCTTCTTCCTTTTCTTTCCAAAACACTTGAGTGTGCTGTCTATGACCAACCCTCTCGCTATTTCTCTCAAAATGATATTCTTGACCCTAGCCAGTGAGGATTCAAGACAGGTCAATCAACTTAGACTGCTCTTCTCTGTGTCACAGAGGCTCTCGGCACAGCCAAAGCTGAGACTCTCTCCTCTGTTCACATCCTCCTAGATCTATCCGCTTCCTTTGACACAGTGATCCATCAGATTCTCCTCTCCACCCTCTCAGGGCTGGTCGTCTCAGGCTCTGCACACTCTTGGATTGCATCCTACCTGGCAGCTCGCTCTTACCAGGCGACGTGGAGAGGATCTTTGTCTTCACCACGCAGGGCTTGGTTCTAGGCCATCTCCTCTTCTCTCTATACATCATGTCACTAGGCTCCGTCAGGTCCTCACATGGTCTCTCATATCATTACTATGCGGATGACACTCAACCCCCTTCTGACACCCAGGTGGTGACATGCATCTCTGCGTGCTTAGCAGATATCTCGGCCCACCACCTCAAGCTCAACCTCGACAAGACAGAGCTGTTCTTCCTCCCCAGGGAAGGTCTGGCCGCTCCATGACCTCTCCATCACAGTTGAGAACTCCACGGTGTCCCCCTCCCAAAGTGCAATAATCTGTACACTGATTTATATATTAAATTTTTTACATTTTGGCGACCCCACTGCAGTTCCCCGAATTTGAATACCACTGCTCTACAACATCCGTAGAGTACGACCCTACCTCCCAGAGGAAGCGGCGCAGGTCCTAATCCAGGCACTTGTCATCTTCTCTGGATAAGAGCGTCTGCTAAATGACTAAAATGTTAACTGTTAAAAAGTAAGACAAATTTGCTAAAAATCACAAAGGGAAACAGTAACACAATAAAAAGAATTATGAGACTATATACAAGTCAAAATACAAGGTAGTTGAGGTAATTGAGGTAATATTAGGTAATATGTACATGTAGGTATGGGTGACTAGGCAATCAGGATAAATAATAAACAGAGTAGCAGCAGCGTATGAGAAGAGTGTGAAAGTGTGTCTATGTGTGAGTGTGTATGTGTGTGTGGCGTCAATATGTGTGTGAGTGTGTGTGTAGTCGTATGTAGTCTACAGTATGTACAGTGGGGGAAAAAAAGTATTTAGTCAGCCACCAATTGTGCAAGTTCTCCCACTTAAAAAGATGAGAGAGGCCTGTAATTTTCATCTTAAATACACGTCAACTATGACAGACAAAATTAGAAAAAAAAATCCAGAAAATCACATTGTAGGATTTTTAATGAATTTATTTGCAAATTATGGTGGAAAATAAGTATTTGGTCACCTACAAACAAGCAAGATTTCTGGCTCTCACAGACCTGTAACTTCTTCTTTAAGAGGCTCCTCTGTCCTCCACTCGTTACCTGTATTAATGGCACCTGTTTGAACTTGTTATCAGTATAAAAGACACCTGTCCACAACCTCAAACAGTCACACTCCAAACTCCACTATGGCCAAGACCAAAGAGCTGTCAAAGGACACCAGAAACAAAATTGTAGACCTGCACCAGGCTGGGAAGACTGAATCTGCAATAGGTAAGCAGCTTGGTTTGAAGAAATCAACTGTGGGAGCAATTATTAGGAAATGGAAGACATACAAGACCACTGATAATCTCCCTCGATCTGGGGCTCCACGCAAGATCTCACCCCGTGGGGTCAAAATGATCACAAGAACGGTGAGCAAAAATCCCAGAACCACACGGGGGGACCTAGTGAATGACCTGCAGAGAGCTGGGACCAAAGTAACAAAGCCTACCATCAGTAACACACTACGCCGCCAGGGACTCAAATCCTGCAGTGCCAGACGTGTCCCCCTGCTTAAGCCAGTACATGTCCAGGCCCGTCTGAAGTTTGCTAGAGTGCATTTGGATGATATCATATGGTCAGATGAAACCAAAATATAACTTTTTGGTAAAAACTCAACTCGTCGTGTTTGGAGGACAAAGAATGCTGAGTTGCATCCAAAGAACACCATACCTACTGTGAAGCATGGGGGTGGAAACATCATGCTTTGGGGCTGTTTTTCTGCAAAGGGACCAGGACGACTGATCTGTGTAAAGGAAAGAATGAATGGGGCCATGTATCGTGAGATTTTGAGTGAAAACCTCCTTCCATCAGCAAGGGCATTGAAGATGAAACGTGGCTGGGTCTTTCAGCATGACAATGATCCCAAACACACCGCCCGGGCAACGAAGGAGTGGCTTCGTAAGAAGCATTTCAAGGTCCTGGAGTGGCCTAGCCAGTCTCCAGATCTCAACCCCATAGAAAATCTTTGGAGGGAGTTGAAAGTCCGTGTTGCCCAGCGACAGCCCCAAAACATCACTGCTCTAGAGGAGATCTGCATGGAGGAATGGGCCAAAATACCAGCAACAGTGTGTGAAAACCTTGTGAAGACTTACAGAAAACGTTTGACCTGTGTCATTGCCAACAAAGGGTATATAACAAAGTATTGATAAACTTTTTGTTATTGACCAAATACTTATTTTCCACCATAATTTGCAAATAAATTCATTAAAAATCCTACAATGTGATTTTCTGGAAAAAAAATTCTCATTTTGTCTGTCATAGTTGACGTGTACCTATGATGAAAATTACAGGCCTCTCTCATCTTTTTAAGTGGGAGAACTTGCACAATTGGTGGCTGACTAAATACTTTTTTTCCCCACTGTATGTGTGTGTTGGAGTGTCAGTGTAGTATGTGTGAGTGTGTGGGTAGAGTCCAGTGAGTGTGCATAGAGCCGGTGCAAAATAGTAAAATGAAGAAGCTGTCTAGGAGCATTTTGGTCCCAAACTTGGTGCTCCAGTACCATTTGCCGTGCAGTAGCTGAGAGAACAGTCAATGACTTGGGTGACTGGAGTCTTTGACAATTTTTAGGGCATTCCTCTGACACCGACTGGTACAGAGTTCCTGAATGGCAGGGAGCTCGGCCCTAGTGATGTACTGGGCCGTACGCACTACCCTCTGCAGCGCCTTACGGTCGGATGCCAAGCAGTTGCCATACCAAGCGGGGATGCAGCAAGACAAGATGCTCTCAATGGTGCAGCTGTAGAACTTTTTGAGGATCTGAGGACCCATGCGAAATCTTTTCAGCCTCCTGAGGGGGAAGAGGCATTGTTGGGCCCTCTTCACGACTGTGTTGGTGTGTTTGGACCATGATATATCCTTAGTGATGTGGACACCGAGGAACTTGAAGCTCTCAACCTGCTCCACTACAGCGCTGTCGGTGTGAATGAGGCCGTGCTCGGCCTTCCGTTTCTTGTAGTCCACGATCAGCTCCTTTGTCTTGCTGATGTTGAGCGAGAGGTTATTGTCCTGGCATCCTCCTCCCTATAGGCTGTCTCGTCGTCGGTAATCAGGCCTACCACCGTCGTGTTGTCGGCAAACTTTATGATGGTGTTGGAGTCATGCGCGGCCACACAGTCGTGGGTGAACAGGGAGTACAGAAGGGGACTAAGCACGCACCCCTAAAGGGTCCCCGTGTCAAGGGTCAGCGTGCTGGATGTGTTGTTGCCTACCCTCATCACCTGGGGGCGGCCTGTCAGGAAGTCCAGGATCCAGTTGCAGAGGGAGATGTTCAGTCCCAGGGTCCTGAGCTTAGTGATGATCTTGGAGGGCACTATGGTGTTGAACGCTGAGCTTTAGTCAATGAACAGCATTCTCACGTAGGTGTTCCTTTTGTCAAGGTGGGAAAGGGCAGTGTGGAGTGCAGTAGAGATTGCGTCTTCTGTAGATCTGTTTTGGCAGTGGGCAAATTGGAGTGGGTCCAGGGTGTCTGGGATGATGGTGTTGATGTGAGGCTTGACCCGCCTTTCAAAGCATTTCATGGCTATAGATGTGAGCAATAGTCATTTAGACAGGTTACCTTGGTGTTCTTGTGCACAGGGACTATTGTGGTCTGCTTGAAACATGTAGGTATTACAGACTGGGTCAAGGAGAGCAAAGACCCTTGCCAGCTGGTCAGCGTTCTGAGTAAGCGTCCTGGTAATCCTTCTGGCCCTGCGGCCTTGTGAATGTTAATCTGTTTAAAGGTCTTACAGCGGCTTCGGAGAGCATGATCACACAGTCTTCCAGAACAGCTGGTGCTCTCACGCATGGTTCAGTGTTACTAGCCTCGAAGTGAGCATAGAAGGCATTTAGCTCGTCTGGTAGGCTTGCGTAACTGGGCAGCTCGCGGCTGGGTTTCACTTTGTAATTTGTGATCGTTTGTAAGCCCTGCCACATCCGACGAGTGTCAGAGCCGGTGTAGTAGGATTTGATCTTAGTCCTGTATTGACGCTTTGGCTGTTTGATGGTTCGTCAGAGGGCGTAGTGGGATCTCTTGTAAGCGTCCAGATAAGTGTCCCGCTCCTTGAAAGCGGCAGCTCTAGCCTTTAGCTCATTGTGGATGTTGCCTGTAATCCATGGCTTCTGGTTGGGATATGTACGTACGGTCACTGTGGGGACGACGTCATCGATGCACTTATTAATGAAGCCGGTGACTGATGTGGTAAACTCCTCAATGCCATCTGATGAATCCCGGAACATACTCCAGTCTGTTTTAGCTAGTCCTTTAGCTTAGTCCTGTATCTTAGCATCCGCTTCATCCCTCCATCCCTCACTCACTATCTCCTACCCTCTTTTCTCTGTCTGTCTCTCTTAGACCTCAGTCATTTATTGAAAATAAATCTGCAATTTTGCACCCTTGGTTATTTGAATGTAAATATTATCAGCCTGCCTCATCTCACTCCTTCCTTCCTTCTCTCCCTGTCTCTTGCTCTGTCTCTTTCCTCAGCTGCAGTCTCTGCTACGGGTGAATGTGTCCCAGGTACAGGTGGATGAGTGTGTGTACACAGACTGCAGGGCGGGTGGAGGTTGCTCCACACACCTCAGCGTCAGTGACACGCCCACCCTAGTGGATGCTGGCAACATGGCCCTGGTGTCTGTGACAGTGACTTCCTCAGCCGTGTGTGGCTGCTCCGCCAGGGATCGTGTCCACCAGGCCTGTTCCTCCTACCCCACAAACCCTTGCTTCAATGGAGGCACCTGCATGGACACCCTCAGTGGGTACAGGTGGGCAGAGAGCAGGGACCACAGCAACACACCTCACCTGAGGTGTGAACTGGGTTGTGTTTGTTAAGGCACATCATAGCAGAAAACAACATATAGGGTAATAGTGTAGATAATTCCTCCCTTTTTTTACTCAATTTCTGACATTTTTCTTCCAATTTAACTCTACTGATCACGATTGTATCCTGTCTTTATTGTATTTAATTTATTACACAAGGAGACAATTGAGAGATAATTAAGAGAAGGTGATAGAAATAATCAGGAGATCTAGATATAGATGGTGATGCGGAGAAAATTCTATCATAATCAGAAATTACACTCATCTGAATAAATTAGAGCTACCTGGGAAAATATTATTTCAGACTAGAATGACAATAAATGAAGGGTTAAAAAAATAGATAGTTCAATGATATTTACCTCCTAATTATATGCTATAGACTTGAACGCTAAGCATATACAGTATTCAGAAATCAATAAAAACCTAGTACAATTGCCCCATGTGGGCGTATCACAGAGGAAACAGCAAGGAGCTTATTTGATGATGAGGATTGATGGTAGGATTTAAGAAATGTAGGCCAGTGAGATGACAACAATAACTACCCACCCCTCTCTTGTAAGTGCTGACAACTTTTCACAAACCCACTTAATACCATTTACATGAACATGTAAAGTTAAGTTAGCCAGACAGATGCGCACACAGAAGAACACGTCCACCTTAAAACCTTAGAACATGAGGGTTACACTCATGGGGTGTGTCCCAAATGGCAACCTTTTCCCTATATAGTGCACTACTTTTGACCAGAGCCCTATGGGCCCTATTCAAAATTAGTGCTCTACATAAGGCATAGGGTGCCATTTGGGGCACAGCCATGCATTCTGTGTTTTTTATCTGCCACATCAGCTGCAGTCTGCAGTCTTGTGAGAGAAAGTCCTAGCCCTTGTCAGAATATAGATGCTGCTATATAACCCAATGTGTATTCAGTATGTGAGTAAAAAATCCAATTTCGGGCCCATCCCATGTAGAGAGAGCTTAATAGCCAGTCTGAGACATTGCCATATCAGATAGTGTCAGTCAGAAGGAAGAAACAGAGGAAGAAACATGCCCTGTGCTCTGGAGTCTGGATTGGATTGGCATTGCTCTCTGGAGTTACATGGAGAATGCCTGTGTGTGTTTGTCTGTAGTGTGTTCTTTCGTCCATGTGTGTGTTTGCTTAAGCACAAACATGCGTGCACTCTTCCGTATCTGTCTGTGTGTGTACACACACTCTTTCCTAGAACCATCCCCCTGTCTCTCTCCGAATGGATCAGTATTCCTTACGTGTTGACCCTCTGCAGAATAAACAGAGTTGGAGACGGAGAGAAAAGAGGAAACATACCCTAACAGTGCACAGCAGAGCCATATGCTCAGAGATGCCGCATGGAAATAGATGGCTGTGACATTATCTACCAAGCCCAGTTCGTCTCATATCACGTTTCAGCAGGGGTGTGAGAATATTCTGCTTCTCCCCTGTTTGGGATCGAAAGTGTTGTTTTTCTCACTGCGTGTATTGTGTTCTATATCAAGTAATTTCTTTGATTACAGTTTACGGCTCATAGACATGCAGATGCACTAGTGGAGGCATGCCATGAGGAAGTGGAGGCATGCCATGAAGAAGTGGAGGCATGCCATGAAGAAGTGGAGGCATGCCATGAAGAAGTGGAGGCATGCCATGAAGAAGTGGAGGCATGCCATGAAGAAGTGGAGGCATGCCATGAAGAAGTGGAGGCATGCCATGAAGAAGTGGAGGCATGCCATGAAGAAGTGGAGGCATGCCATAAAGAAGTGGAGGCATGCCATGAAGAAGTGGTCCTCTGAAGTGGTCCTCTGTAGCTCAATTGGTAGAGCATGGCGCTTGTAATGCCAGGGTAGTGGGTTCGATCCCCGGGACCACCCATACGTAAAAATGTATGCACACATGACTGTAAGTCGCTTTGGATAAAAGCGTCTGCTAAATGGCATATTATTATTATTATTAAGTGGAGGCATGCCATGAAGAAGTGGAGGCATGCCATGAAGAGGTGGAGGCATGCCATGAAAAAGTGGAGGTATTCCATCAAGAAGTGGAGGCATGCCATGAAGAGGTGGAGGCATGCCATGAAAAAGTGGAGGTATTCCATCAAGAAGTGGAGGCATGCCATGAAGAGGTGGAGGCATTCCATGAAAATGCGCTTAATTTTGTGCTTCATTCAGTGTTAGCAATGGTCCATAGAAGCACTCTAATCTGTAATCAAGGCAAAGGAAGGGAAAGGAGAGGTAATCACAAAGAAATCAGTCAGAGTGCTTCTGCCTGCATAACACACATGCACACACGCATGCACACACACACACACACACACACACACACACACACACACACACACTGTATTTAAAGGGGTACAAATGCTTGTCACTGTAGTGGTACCCTGCAAGTTATGTCCATTGTACCATTAGTTAAAGGTACATAATTGTACCCTTGCAATTCGTACCTTAATAGAGCAAAAGGGGCTTTAATCAATTAACAAAACCATAGACCACTTTAACTGGTACAACACTTCCACTCACGGGTGGCCCCCAAAAAACTAACTGAATGCCACGCCCACACTAAGCCACATCTCCAATGATTGGGTACAAAAATGTACCATTATACTAGATGTCCCCTAAAAGGTACCAAACAGTATCATGTGAGATCTAATGTGTACTTCTGAAGGTACATTATGTATATTTAGAACTTTGTGTACCCCAGGGAAAAATACTGTGCCCTAACCGTACCTTTTTCTTCTCAGAGTGTACACTACACCATGCCAGGGAATCTGCACAGCAGAGTAATGGGACTGAAACAAGGAGATATTGAGAATCAGTGATACTGTAGGGTGCCTAGAAAAGTATGAATCATGTTCTTAATCATGCTCGAACAAAGGGGTCTGATATGCTGCTGAGCAGTTGTAAGTTAGAGGAGTTCTACAGCCCCTAAATCTGTGTTTCGGCTCACAGGCTAAACAATGTTATAAGGATAATAAAATGAATAGAAATATTGAGGGACTTGTGTTCCTATGTAATGTTTTCAATGCAGCATTTAATATGTACTTGATGTGTTTCATGCCTAATGCACACATAGCTACTGTATGTAGATGAAAGCCCTGCCTGTCATTTATAAAGATAGTCATGTTGCACGGCACTTTACACACACACAGAGATAACAATACAGCCAGCCCCATTATAATGTTTCAATATAGAGAAATCACTGTTAATGTTCTCTGGGGTGCTTTTATTTCATGCCACCACAGATGCCAGTGCCCACCGCAGTACAAGGGTCCTGAGTGCCAGCAGACAAGGCGACGTTTCCTTGGCAATGGCTATGCCTGGTTTCCTCCCATAAGGCTGTGCTTTGATAGCCATCTCTCCCTGGAGTTCATCACAGGGGCTGAGGACGGGCTGCTGCTCTACAGCGGGCCCCTGGCCACCCTGCTGCCCGGAGACCCAGAGGACTACATGGCCATAGGTAGGATAATGTGTTACCCACTCAGGATTTGAACCCAGGTCATGGAGATCACATAAGCCCTCTGAGCTAAAGCCTAGGCATCAACAGGGTGCTAACTCGAATATTTAGGTATCAGGCAAGGTTACTCATCACTCTAGTGTGGTATACTGCATCTACCTTCCAGTCCAACCGAGGTGCATGATTTGAATAACAAACGGGATGTGTGGGAGATATCCAGCGTTATTTTGATTAATTAGGTTGCTTAGTCATACAGCCCAGACAGAGACAAAACACTGAAACTAAAGCACTGTAGCCTTGTTTATGGGTTCACTTTCTCATCAATGAAAAGTAGACCAAGATAATGGTCCGTACCTTTGGAATGAACTGTTAGTTACATATGTACAGTAAATATACAGTTTTATGTAAAGTATATATATTTGTATGCATTGACTATTTGACACTGAACAACATCCCTCCAAGAGCATCAGAAGTGCATCCTACACCACAGTTGAACTTCGACCCTTTAAGTCTGTAGGTGGAATGGCATGGTGATGTTGATGCTGATGACCTCTTCTCCTCAGAGCTGATTGGTGGAACACCTAGCCTGAAAATCAACCATGGGTCTGGAACCCTGGTGCTGCAGTTGCCGGGAAATGTGGTTGTTTCTGACAGACGCTGGCACCGTCTGGATATTAGGAGCAACAGTAAAGTAAGCGGACCATTAAATGTCTGTATTCACATCCTGAAAACACACATTATTCCATGTTCTTACCTGTATGTGTGTGTTTGTGTGTGTGCAGAGATTGTTACCTTACACTTCTTCTCCTGGGTTTTCAGGAAGTGCGTTTCACCCTGGACCGCTGCTCCAGTGCCATTGTCATGGAGACGGAGGGCGTGGACAGCTGGGCCATGACCGAGGACCGCTCTTCTTGTGAGGTCAGAGGAGTCACGCCCAATAGGGACAGGTAATGTCCTACTCAGAAGCCCGCCCCTCTGATATCACACCAATCACACCTGCCAGCCGGCATTGCCGATGGCCAAAATAGTTCCTCTGAAAGACATTAAAAGATCTACGAACATCTATGTGTCATCCAGTGTTGGTTACATTTAAGATAAGGTACTATACAGATTAGTTGACGTGAGTGAGTGGTGTGATTCTGGACTGTAAGGATGGATGGATGGATGAAACAAACAACTGGACAGACGGATTCATGGTTTGAATGGACAGGCATTGACAATGATGTGTCTCCTCTATTCCACAGGTACCTGAATGGGAGTCAGGTGTTGCAGCTGGGTGGGGTCAACGAAAACATGTCCTATGAGTATCCCCAGCTACAGCACAAGCACTTCACTGGATGTCTGCGCAACCTGGTTGTGGACAGTATGGTAAGACACAAAAGTCTACAGCTCTGCCCTAACACCCCAACAACAAGAAAATGTACCTCTCTAACTCAATCTCGGCTCTAGACATTGCATTTTATTTCTTACATTTTCTCACTCCTTGACCTGTTTATTTGACTCGCTAGAAGGTTTCATTAAGACAGGAGTTCAAGAGGAATGTCAATTTGAGCTCAAGACTAAGCTGGGAGTATCTTCTAAATGCTGATGTCTTTCAGTCATCATATTCCCCCAAGTTCTTTATCTCCTTTATGACCTATGACCTTCGCTCTGCTTTATTTTATGCTTCAGAAAGGGATGTATTGTGCATTACTGAGGATAGACTGAAAACCGCATGCCATCCCTCTCTCTCTCCCTTATTATTTTCTCTCTCTTGCCCTACTTTCTTGTCTTTCTTTCTCTTTCTTCCTCTCTCCTCTCTCCCCTCACATCTCTCTTTCTCCCTCTCTCTCTCCCACTCACCCTCCTTCTCACTCCCTCATTCCTTCACACCCTCCCTCTCTTCCCTCTCTGCTCCAGCTCTATGACCTTGGTTCTCCCTCAGAGTCCTCCAGCAGTGCCCCAGGCTGCTCTCTGACTGATGGGAACTGTGTAAACATGGGTGTACCAGCCTGTGGCGCCAGGGGGCGCTGTAATGGGCAGTGGGACTCCATCAGCTGCCAGTGTGCGCCTGGATACACAGGGATCCACTGTAAAGACAGTACGTCCTTAGAGAATATACAGTTGGGTTATAACAGGTGTTGTCTGTGGGTATCAAAAGGTGTAGGGTGGACTGTATTACATAGTAGAATCCTAAAATGGGATGTATGTTTTTTTTTCCCAACAAGATCAAAATGCCATGGCTTTGAAATATAGGTTTAACACTCTTGTTAAACCTATAATAAGATTCAAGAGTCAAGATTTTTTTATTGATCTTGCGGAATGGAAATTTGTCTTAAGGTTTACATGCATGGCTCACAAACAAGATAACTGTGTTTGGCTTCTGTCACATACAGTTGAAGTTGGAAGTTTACATACACCTTAGCCAAATACATTTAAACTCAGTTTTTCACAATTCCTGACATTTAATCCTAGTAAAACTTCCCTGTCTTAGGTCAGTTAGGATCACCACTTTATTTTAAGAATGTGAAATGTCAGAATAATAGTAGAGAGAATGATTTATTTCAGCTTTTATTTCTTTTATCACATTCCCAGTGGGTCAGAAGTTTACATACTCTCAATTAGTATTTGGTAGCATTGCCTTTAAATTGTTTAACTTTGGTCAAACGTTTCGGGTAGCCTTCCACAAGCTTCCCACAATAAGTTGGGTGAATTTTGGCCCATTCCTCCTGACAGAGCTGGTGTAACTGAGTCAGGTTTGTAGGCCTCCTTGCTCGCACAAGCTTTTTCAGTTCTGCCCACAAATATTCTATAGGATTGAGGTCAGGGCTTTGTGATGGCCTCTCCAATACCTTGACTTTATTGTCCTTAAGCCATTTTGCCACAACTTTGGATGTATGCTTGGGGTCATTGTCCATTTGGAAGACCCATTTGCAACCAAGCTTTAACTTCCTGACTGATGTCTTGAGATGTTGCTTCAATATATCCACATTATTTTCCTTCCTCATGATGCGATCTATTGTGTGAAGTGCACCAGTCCCTCCTGCAGCAAAGCACCCCCACAGCATGATGCTTCCACCCCCGTGCTTCACGGTTGGGATGGTGTTCTTCGGCTTGCAAGCGTTCCCCTTTTTCCTCCAAACATAACGATGGTCATTATGGCCAAACAGTTCTATTTTTGTTTCATCAGACCAAAGGATCCCCATGTGCAGTTGCAAACCGTAGTCTGGCTTTTTTATGGCAATTTTGGAGCAGTGGCTTCTTCCTTGCTGAGCGGCCTTTCAGGTTATGTCAATATTGGACTTGTTTTACTGTGGATATAAATACCTTTGTACCTGTTTCCTCCAGCATCTTCACAATGTCCTTTGCTGTTGTTCTGGGATTGATTTGCACTTTTTGCACCAAAGTACGTTCGTCTCTAGGAGACAGAACACGTCTCCTTCCTGAGCGGTATGGCGGCTGCGTGGTCCCATGGTGTTTATACTTGAGTACTATTGTTTGTACAGATGAATGTGGTACCTTCAGGCGTTTGGAAATTGCTCCCAAGGATGAACCAGACTTGTTGAGGTCTACAATTTTATTTCTGAGGTCTTGGCTAATTTCTTTTGATTTTCCCATGATGTCAAGCAAAGAGGCACTGAGTTTGAAGGTAGGCCTTGAAATACATCCACAGGTACACCTCCAATTGACTCAAATTATGTCAATTAGCCTATCAGAAGCTTCTAAAGCCATGACATCATTTTCTGGAATTTTTCAAGCTGTTTAAAGCACAGTCAACTTGGTGTATGTAAACTTATGACCCACTGGAATTGTGATATAGTGAATTATAAGTGAAATAATCTGTCTGTAAACAATTGTTGTTAAAATTATTGTGTCATGCACAAAGTAGATGTCATAACCGACTTGCCAAAACTATAGTTTGTTAACAAGAAATTTGTGGAGTGGTTGAAAAACGAGTTTTAATAAGTCCAACCTAAGTGTATGTAAACTTCCGACTTCAACTGTATGTGAATTGTCTTGACTTGGCTACTGAGTGCAGACAGTAGTAGGTACAGTATATATAATACATAATTAATAATATACTGTAGAAGCCCTCATGGCAGCTCTATTCAGGTCTATGTTTTTCTCTCTCTTCTTCAACTGACAGAAGTCCCAGAGTTCTCCTTTGATGGGAGGAGCCATGTCCAGTACCAGGTGGGATGGTCTCTCCCGGCACGTCACACCAGTGTGCAGCTCCAGGTGCGAACCCATATCCCGAGCGGTGTCCTCCTCAGCCTCCTCTCCCTGGAGCAGAATGAATACTTACGTCTGGAGGTGAGTCATCGACACTGCCTGCAGAGAGGCACTTTAATTGGCTGCTGCTGTAGCCTGCTCCTCAACGTTGTTATTATGTTGCCTGAATGACTGTCATGATGGCTCGACATTTTTGACAGAGATGGAGCGAGTAATGGCGGGCTTGGAAGACAGGAAGTGGGTACTGAGTGGGCTTCTGAGTGACTGAGTTCTGATGCCTAGTCACTTTACCCTGCCTTCATGTATACTGAACAAAAATATACAGTGAGGGAAAAAAGTATTTGATCCACTGCTGATTTTGTATGTTTGCCCACTGACAAAGAAATGATCAGTCTATAATTTTAATGGTAAGTTTATTTGAACAGTGAGAGATAGAATAACAACAAAAAAATCCAGAAAAAACGCATGTCAAAAATGTTATAAATTGATTTGCATTTTAATGAGCGAAATAAGTATTTGACCCCCTCTCAATTATAAATATTTCTGGCTCCCAGGTGTCTTTTATACAGGTAACGAGCTGAGATTAGGAGCACACTCTTAAAGGGAGTGCTCCTAATCTCAGCTTGTTACCTGTATAAAAGACACCTGTCCACAGAAGCTATCAATCAATCAGATTCCAAACTCTCCACCATGGCCAAGACCAAAGAGCTCTCCAAGGATGTCAGGGACAAGATTGTAGACCTACACAAGGCTGGAATGGGCTACAAGATCATTGCCAAGCAGCTTGGTGAGAAGGTGACAACAGTTGGTGTGATTATTCGCAAATGGAAGAAACACAAAAGAACTGTCAATCTCCCTCGGCCTAGGGCTCCATGCAAGATCTCACCTCGTGGAGTTGCAATGATCATGAGAACGGTGAGGAATCAGCCCAGAACTACACGGGAGGATCTTGTCAATGATCTCAAGGCAGCTGGGACCATAGTCACCAAGAAAACAATTGGTAACACACTACGCCGTGAAGGACTGAAATCCTGCAGCGCCCGCAAGGTCCCCCTGCTCAAGAAAGCACATATACAGGCCCGTCTGAAGTTTGCCAATGAACATCTGAATGATTCAGAGGAGAACTGGGTGAAAGTGTTGTGGTCAGATGAGACCAAATTCGAGCTCTTTGGCATCAACTCAACTCGCCGTTTTTGGAGGAGGAGGAATGCTGCCTTTGACCCCAAGAACACCATCCCCACCGTCAAACATGGAGGTGGAAACATTATGCTTTGGGGGTGTTTTTCTGCTAAGGGGACAGGACAACTTCACCGCATCAAAGGGACGATGGACGGGGCCATGTACTGTCAAATCTTGGTTGAGAACCTCCTTCCCTCAGCCAGGGCATTGAAAATGGGTTGTGGATGGGTATTCCAGCATGACAATGACCCAAAACACACGGCCAAGGCAACAAAGGAGTGGCTCAAGAAGAGGCACATTAAGGTCCTGGAGTGGCCTAGCCAGTCTCCAGACCTTAATCCCGTAGAAAATCTGTGGAGGGAGCTGAAGTTTCGAGTTGCCAAACGTCAGCCTCGAAACCTTAATGACTTGGAGAAGATCTGCAAAGAGGAGTGGGACAAAATCCCTCCTGAGATGTGTGCAAACCTGGTGGCCAACTACAAGAAACGTCTGACCTCTGTGATTGCCAACAATGGTTTTGCCACCAAGTACTAAGTCATGTTTTGCAGAGGGGTCAAATACTTATTTCCCTCATTAAAATGCAAATCAATTTATAACATTTTTTACATGAGTTTTTCTGGATTTTTTTTGTTGTTATTCTGTCTCTCACTGTAAACCTACCATTAAAATTATATACTGATCATGTCTTTGTCACTGGGCAAATGTACAAAATCAGCAGGGGATCAAATACTTTTTTCTCTCACTGTATTGCCTTTGGGTTGTTTTGAGATGCGCCTATGGAACATCGCAGCACAGTATTCAGGATTATTTTATTGTCTGTCTAGTTATTAGCATATCCCTCCTTCAGTATTATGGTCTAGGGAAGTGGGTAGCTGTTATTAGTTGGATGTAAGAGATCTCTTAAGCGGAAAGGTCCAATTCTGTCTTTTCTCCTTCAAGCTCTTATAGGGGACTTTTTCAGTGTTTGCTCGAATTGTGTACCCAATTTGAACTGGAAAACATGAAGTGGCATATACAATCAACCTAGCTTACCTAGAGTATCTGCTACTTCACAAGGCTCTTCTCTGTCTGACTTAACCAGGAAAATATAACACAATTTCTGAGTATGAATACCATTTATGTGGAGATAGGATGTTAGGGTTGAAGGAGCCTTTGGTCTCTTTGAGTGACAGTGTGTCCACAGCACCAGGCAGAACACTGCTCGGCTAGCGTCTGTCACTCAAGAACACCTACCCACACAGGTCAGCTCTTTCCACTCTCATCCTACTGTAGCTTCCTCATGACAAACCAGTTTGACAGTTTTGTGGTGTCAGAGAGAGCACCAACATGCAGTCTCACTGCTATAGCTCCCTTCTGAGTGTCTGAGTCAGTGTAGTAGCAACCCCACTCTAGCCTTTTCTCCCCACCAGCCCCATACATACCAGTAAAAAGAAACTGAGAAAAGGATTGGGGCTCTGTCCGATCTCAGCAGCAACTGTAAGTAGGTTATATAAGGTTCCTCTGTGAACAATCTTGTTTGTTGAGTCGGCGAGCTGTATAAAACGCTAGTTTTTTGTCCGAAAGCAAGCTACTCTGTCTGAAGCTGTCTCAGAGCTCTCTGAGAGACACTTGAGTGTGGATCCAGACAACAAGTCTCTCAGAACCTCAGCCTCTCTTGTTTGCTCTGATGGGTAGAAAGGGATGGAGAGGGAGGAGGGTGGAGGGAGGAGGGAACGCATGCTGAATGAATAAATAGACATTCACAAGGTTACTGGGGGCTGCTGCATAAAAGCGTGAGAGTTAGGCCTCTGAAACCTTTTCCACCTCCTGTTGATGTCTATTCGATGACGAAAACATGTAATCTTTATCTTCACATAATGGAACACCAAAGGGTTGCATTATTCTCTTGAGTGTTAGCGGAAAGCAGGTTCCAAGATGGCATAGCAGTGCGGTCGTGTTTTCTGTAGTGTCCTCATGTAAATAGCCAGTTTTTTTGTCTTTTTCGTATATATTTCTCAATCTCACTTTCCATCCTTTAACTAAAATACTTTCCTGCAACCCACTTCACCCAATGTGAAACGGATTCTATTATTCTTTCTTTATTATTTCTTCATAAATTTTTTATCCAGAACCTCTGGCTGAAACTAGCCAATTAGCCAGCTAACTAGCTACTTGCTATTAACCACTGTTAGCGGTCTTCACCATTGTCCGTGGCCGTGGCCTGCACTACCTACCAGCCAGCTCTAGCCTGGACAATTATCGGCCAGTCTGCACATCGCGCTATCGAGCCAGAGCATATCGGATTTTCTGCCGGAATCACTGAATCACTGGACCTTGACACCGGATCATCGCAACTAGCTAGCTGCAACCGAATGGCTGTTGTCGTTGTTGGCTAATCACCACTAATCACCACTGTCCTGAAGCTAACCCCAGTTAGCCTTGAGCTAGCCTCAAGCCATGCCCATCTCCCGGCTATCTACCTCTCTGTCAACCGGACGGGACCTCCTAGTGTTGACACGGAGCCCCGCCGATGCATCACAACTGGTCTGCCGACGTAATCGTCTGATGTGGTTTCAACAGGCTTGCCGTTGCGACGACCACGAAGATCCATCTGCTAGCCCCGGCCCGCTAGCACACGCAATCAACAGCCATGCCTCCAGCTCGCCTGTAGCGTAGCAGTCACTGAACTGCTCCCGGACTTACTTATTGCTGTTCACTGGACCTTGTGATCACTCAGCTACACAGCTGATGCCTGCTGGACTGTTCCTTTATATGGTACCCCATCCTGTTGATCTGTTTAGCCTCAGCTCAAACTTTCGTCGCCATTACCAGCTGTTGTCTTAGCTCTCTCGAATAACACCTGTGACTGCTTTATGCCTATCTCCCATGTCAATATGCCTTGCCTATTGCTGTTTCGGTTAGTTCTAACTGTACTTTTTCAATGTAGAGCCCCCAGTCCTGCTCAACCTGTCTCAGAAATATATTTTGTCCCACCCCCCACACACACGGAGACCGGCTCAATCGGTGCCTCCAGTGATGCTATCTCTTTCATCTTATTATAATAATAATAATGATTATTATCTTTACCCAACGCTGTACATAATGCCCTGAATCTATTCTACAACGCCCGGAAATCAGCCCCTTTTTTTCTCTGTACCCAACGCACTATAAGACCAGTTCTTAAAGCCTTTTGCCGTATCCTTATTCCAGTCCTCCTCTGTTCCTCTGGTGATGTAGAGGTTAACCCAGGCCCTGTAGCCCCCAGTATCACTCCTGCTCCCCAGGCACTATCATTTGTTGACTTCTGTAATCGCAAAAGCCTTGGTTTCTAGCATGTTAACATCAGAAGCCTCCTCCCTTAGTTTGAGTTACTCACTGCGTTAGCACACTCAGCCAACCCTGATGTTCTAGCAGTGTCTGAATCCTGGCTTAGGAAGGCCACCAAAGATTCTGAAATTTCCATTCCCATCTACAACATTTTCCGTCTAGATAGAACTGCCAAAGGGGGCGGAGTTGCAATCTACTGTAGAGAGAGCCTGCAGAGCTCTATCATACTATCCAGGTCTGTGCCCAAACAGTTTGAGCTTCTACTTCTAAAAATCCACCTTTCCAGAAATAAGTCTCTCACTGTTGCCGCTTGCTACACACCCCCCTCAGTCCCCAGCTGTGCCCTGAACACCATATGTGAATTGATTGCCCCCCATCTATCCTCAGAGTTCGTATTGCTTGGTGACCTAAACTGGGATATGCTTAACACCCCGGCCGTCCTACAATCTAAACTAGATGCCCTCAATCTCACACAAATTGTCAAGGAACCTACCAGGTACAACCCTAAATCCGTTAACATGGGCACCCTCATAGATATGACTCCCGAGTGGCGCAGTGGTCTAAGGCTGTGCCACTAGAGATCCTGGTTCGAGTCCAGGCTCTGTCGCAGCCGGCCGCGACCGGGAGACCCATGGGCGGCGCACAATTGGTCCAGCATCGTCCAAGGTAGGGGGCGGTTTGGCCGGCAGGGATGTGGGTTCGTTTCCTACGGGGGTTCAGCACGGGAAAAAAAAATGTATGCATTCACTAACTGTAAGTTGCTCTGGATAAGAGCGTCTGCTAAATGACTAAAATAAAATATAATCCTGACTCATTTACCCTCTAAATACACCTCCGCTGTCTTCAACCAGGATCTCAGTGATCACTGCCTCATTGCCTGCGTCCGTAATGGGTCCGCGGTCAAACGACCACCCCTCATCACTGTCAAATGCTCCCTAAAACACTTCAGCGAGCAGTCCTTTCTAATTGACCTGGCCCGGGTATCCTGGATGGATATTGACCTCATTCCATCAGTAGAGGATGCCTGGTTGTTCTTTAAAAGTGCTTTCCTATCCATCTTAAATAAGCATGCCCCATTCAAAAAATTCAGAACTAAGAACAGACATAGCCCCTGGTTCACCCCAGACTTGACTGCCCTTGACCAGCACAAAAACATCCTGTGGCGTACGGCATTAGCATCGAACAGCCCCCGCGATATGCAACTTTTCAGGTCAATCAGTTAGGAAAGCAAAGGATAACTTTTTCAAACAGAAATGTGCATCCTGTAGCTCTAACTCCAAAAGGTTTTGGGACACTGTAAAGTCCATGGAGAATAAGAGCACCTCCTCCCAGCTGCCCACTGCACTGAGGCTAGGAAACACTGTCACTACCGATAAATCTACGATAATCGAAAATTTCAACAAGCATTTTGCTACGACTGGCCATGCTTTCCACCTGGCTACCCCTACCCCGGCCACCAGCTCTACACCCTCCGCTGCAACTTGTCCATGCCCCCCCCACTTCTCCTTCACCCAAATTTAGATAGCTGATGTTCTGAAAGAGCTACAAAATCTGGACCCCTACAAATCAGCTGGGCTAGACAATCTGGACCCTTTCTTTCTAAAATAAGCCCCCGAAATTGTCACAACCCCTATCACCAGCCTGTTCAACCTCTCTTTCGTATCGTCTGAGATCCCCAGAGATTGGAAAGCTTCCGCGGTCATCCCCCTCTTCAAAGGGGGTGACACTCTAGATCCAAACTGTTACAGACCTATATCCATCCTGCCTGCCTTTCGAAAGTATTTGAAAGCCAAGTTAACAAACAGATCACTGACCATTTAGAATCCCACCGTACCTTCTTCGCTATGCAATCTGGTTTCCGAGCTGGTCATGGGTGTACCTCAGCCACACTCAAGGTCCTAAACAAAATAATAACCGTGATCGATAAAAGACAGTACTGTGCAGCCGTATTCATTGACCTGGCCAAGGCTTTTGACTCTGTCAATCACCACATTCTTATTGGCAGACTAAATAGCCTTGGTTTCTCAAATGACTGCCTCGCCTGGTTCACCAACTACTTCTCAGATAGAGTTCAATGTGTCAAATCGGAGGGCCTGTTGTCTGGACCTCTGGCAGTCTCTATGAGGGTGCCACAGGGTTCAATTCTCGGGCCAACTCTATTCTCTGTGTATATCAATGATGTCGCTCTTGCTGCTGGTGACTCTCAGATCCACCTCTACGCAGACGACACCATTTTGTATACATCTGGCCCTTCATTGGACACTGTGTTAACAAACCTCCAAACAAGCTTCAATGCCATACAACACTCCTTCTGTGGCCTCCAACTGCTCTTAAACGCTAGTAAAACTAAATGCATGCTCTTCAATCGAACGCTGCTTGCACCCACCTGCCCGACTAGAATCACTACTCTCGACGGGTCTGACTTAGAATATGTGGACAACTACAAATACCTCAGTGTCTGGTTAGACTGTAAACTCTCCTTCCAGACTCACATTAAGCATCTCCAATTCAAAGATCAATCTAGAATCGGCTTCCTATTTCGCAACAAAGCCTCCTTCACTCATGCTGCTAAACATGCCCTCGTAAAACTGACTATCCTACCGATCCTTGACTTCGGCGATGTCATTTACAAAATAGCCTCCAACACTCTACTCAGCAAATTGGATGTAGTCTATCACAGTGCCATCCGTTTTGTCACCAAAGCCCCATATACTACCCACCATTGTGACCTGTACGCTCTCGTTGGCTGGCCCTCACTACATATTTGTCGCCAAACCCACTGGCTCCAGGTCATCTATAAATCCCTTCTAGGCAAATCCCCGTCTTATCTTAGCTAATTGGTCACCATAGCAACACCCACCCGTAGTATGCGTTCCAGCAGGTATATCTCACTGGTCATCCCCAAAGCCAACACCTCCTTTGGTCGTCATTCCTTCCAGTTCTCTGCTGCAAATGACTGGAACGAACTGCAAAAATCTCTGAAGCTGGAGACCCTTATCTCCCTCACTATCTTTAAGCATCAGTTGTCAGAGCAGTTTACCGATCACTCCACCTGTACACAGCCCATCTGTAATTAGCCCACCCAACTACCTCATCCCCATATTGTTATTTACATTGTTATTTATTTTGCTCATTTGCACCCCAGTATCTCTATTTGCACATCATATTCTGCACATCTATCACTCCAGTGTTAATACTAAATTATAATTGTAATTATTTTGCACTATGGCCTATTTATTGCCTTACCTCCATAACTTACTACATTTGCACACACTGTATATAGATTTTCTATTGTGTTATTGACTGTACGTTTTGTTTATTCAATATGTAACCCTGTGTTGTTGTTGTTTTTTCCGCACTGCTTTGCTTTATCTTGGCCAGGTCGCAGTTGTAAATGAGAACTTGTTCTCAACTGGCTTACCTGGTTAAATAAAGGTGAAAAATAAATTTAAAAAAAGGTGGAAATCAATGCTTATAACCCTTATTACTTATTGAGATGCTTTTTATTTATATCCTTATGTAGGGTTTTAAAATTCAAGTAGAAAAAGGTTTACTTGTGAAAACATTGACAGTTTTTACTTTGTAGTGAAGTGTTTGTACTACTAAGCGACGCTGAAAATATATTGCTATAGACTTTATGGTCGGATTCTGTATAAAGTTGGGATTAATTGAGCTCATTGTCATATGTTTGCCTATGCTGTGTGGACTGCAAGCAATTTGATGCATTGAGGGGAGCCTATATATATGCTGTCGGGGGGGAGAGATGGGAGGTGCTTGATAGATGGGGGGTTAATTGGTCCGTAGGGTGGCAGGGGGGAATAGAATGTTGGCATTATGCTCTGATGACCATGCTGAGGGAGCAATAGTTAAAACAATATGGGCTGTCATGCTGCATACATTAAAACACAGTATTTAATTAATTATGGGCATGTACAAGCTGCGGTTATAGCAGCCAGCAGCACCTCCCAGCCCCATCTCCAGCCCAGTGTGTTTGCTCAGCCTTAGCTGCTGTGGATAATTGTTGTCTGTGATATTTTCCCTCTGGACTGAGTTAAGTAATGTCCGTGGCAGTTTTGAAAAGCTTAAATATTAAATACAATGGTCTTAATTGAATTGAATAGAAAATAGAACATTGTAAATTGCCCTTTTTGACATTTTAAAGGCGTGATCTGTGATTTTTACAGCCGTTTTAGATCATTTCAATTGATTAATATGCACTGTATATTTCAGATCTTTCAGGGGCTACTGGCTGTCTTTTATAACCTGGGTGACAGACTCTACAACCTCACACTGCCCTTCCAACGCCTTGACAACGGAGAATGGCACGAGGTGGAGCTGGATCGTCATGGCAAAGAGTTCACCCTTCGATTGGACGGTGGCGGCGGGAGGCAGGAGGTCACAGCCGCTCCTGGAATGAGTCAGGAGATAGTCATCGACCAAACAGTGGTGATGCTGGGAAACTCCTTCCCCTCAGGAAACAACCACAGCTTCCTAGGTATGGTACTGGTACTGCCATCTGGTACTGCCCCCTGGTACTGCCCCCTGGTACTGACCATTAATATTATCCACCTAACTTCCCACTGGTATTTCCCACTCGTTGTTACTGCCAGTGCCAGAGTACCATGAGGGAAGATAAAATGATTGAACGAATGAACGAACAAATGAAAGTGGTATAAAATCATGTACAGTGCCTTGCAAAAGTATTAATCCATGAGGCGGGTGATTTGGACGGAGTCAGGCGCAGGAGGGTAATTCACAGAATAAATGGTTTATTCGGTAAGACAGCAGTACGCAGCAATGCGTAAAACACTCCAGTGCGGTATTACGGCGCACTGGAGAAAACAAGGCACACAGGTGAATATCCCGGCGATACAAAATACAATATAGCTCCACCGAGCTATAGTAACCTCCACAATAAACAATCACACACAAAGACATAAGGGCAGAGGGAACACTTATACAGGTACTGATGAGGGGATATGAACCAGGTGTGTGTAATAAACAAGACAAGACAAATGGAATGATAAGATAAAAAAATAATTAAAAAAATAAGATGATGAGCGGCAGTGGCTAGAAGGGCGGTGATGACGAACGCCGAAGCCTGCCCGAACAAGGAGAGGAGGCAGCTTCGGAGGAAGTCGTGACAATCCCCTTGGCATTTTTCCTATTTTGTTGCATTACAACCTGTAATTTCAATTAATTTTTATTTGGATTTCATGTAATGGACATACACAAAATAGTCAAAATTGGTGAAGTGAAATGAAAAAAGTAACTTGTTTCAAAAAATTCAAAAAAATAAATAATAAAAACCAATTACCTTCAGAAGTCACATAATTAGTTAAATAAAGTCCACTTTTGTGCAATCTAAGTGTCACATGATCTGTCACATGATCTCAGTATATACAGTGGGGAAAAAAAGTATTTAGTCAGCCACCAATTGTGCAAGTTCTCCCACTTAAAAAGATGAGAGAGGCCTGTAATTTTCATCATAGGTACATGTCAACTATGACAGACAAATTTAGATTTTTTTCTCCAGAAAATCACATTGTAGGATTTTTAATGAATTTATTTGCAAATTATGGTGGAAAATAAGTATTTGGTCACCTACAAACAAGCAAGATTTCTGGCTCTCACAGACCTGTAACTTCTTCTTTAAGAGGCTCCTCTGTCCTCCACTCGTTACCTGTATTAATGGCACCTGTTTGAACTCGTTACCAGTATAAAAGACACCTGACCACAACCTCAAACAGTCACACTCCAAACTCCACTATGGCCAAGACCAAAGAGCTGTCAAAGGACACCAGAAACAAAATTGTAGACCTGCACCAGGCTGGGAAGACTGAATCTGCAATAGGTAAGCAGCTTGGTTTGAAGAAATCAACTGTGGGAGCAATTATTAGGAAATGGAAGACATACAAGACCACTGATAATCTCCCTCGATCTGGGGCTCCACGCAAGATCTCACCCTGTGGGGTCAAAATTATCACAAGAACGGTGAGCAAAAATCCCAGAACCACATGGGGGGACCTAGTGAATGACCTGCAGAGAGCTGGGACCAAAGTAACAAAGCCTACCATCAGTAACACACTACGCCACCAGGGACTCAAATCCTGCAGTGCCAGACGTGTCCCCCTGCTTAAGCCAGTACATGTCCAGGCCCGTCTGAAGTTTGCTAGAGTGCATTTGGATGATCCAGAAGAGGATTGGGAGAATGTCATATGGTCAGATGAAACCAAAATATAACTTTTTGGTAAAAACTCAACTTGTCGTGTTTGGAGGACAAAGAATGCTGAGTTGCATCCAAAGAACACCATACCTACTGTGAAGCATGGGGTTGGAAACATCATGCTTTGGGGCTGTTTTTCTGCAAAGGGACCAGGACGACTGATCCGTGTAAAGGAAAGAATGAATGGGGCCATGTATCGTGAGATTTTGAGTGAAAACCTCCTTCCATCAGCAAGGGCATTGAAGATGAAACGTGGCTGGGTCTTTCAGCATGATAATGATCCCAAACACACCGCCCGGGCAACGAAGGAGTGGCTTCGTAAGAAGCATTTCAAGGTCCTGGAGTGGCCTAGCCAGTCTCCAGATCTCAACCCCATAGAAAATCTTTGGAGGGAGTTGAAAGTCTGTGTTGCCCAGCGACAGCCCCAAAACATCACTGCTCTAGAGGAGATCTGCATGGAGGAATGGGCCAAAATACCAGCAACAGTGTGTGAAAACCTTGTGAAGACTTACAGAAAACGTTTGACCTGTGTCATTGCCAACAAAGGGTATATAACAAAGTATTGAGAAACTTTTGTTATTGACCAAATACTTATTTTCCACCATAATTTGCAAATAAATTCATTAAAAATCCTACAATGTGTTTTCTGGGGAAAGAAATCTCATTTTGTCTGTCATAGTTGACGTGTACATATGATGAAAATTACAGGCCTCTCTCATCTTTTTAAGTGGGAGAACTTGCACAATTGGTGGCTGACTAAATACTTTTTTCCCCCACTGTATACACCTGTTCTGAAAGGCCCCAGAGTCTGCAACACCACTAAGCAAGGGGCACCACCAAGCAAGCGGCACCATGAAGACCAAGGAGCTGTCCAAACAGGTCAGGGACAAAGTTGTGGAGAAGTACAGATCAGGGTTCGGTTCTAAAAAAATATCTGAAACTTTGAACATCCCACGGAGCACCATTTAAATCCATTATAAAAAATGGAAAGAATATGGCACCACAACAAACCTGCCAAGAGAGGGCCGCACACCAAAACTCACGGAGCAGGCAAGGAGGGCATTAATCAGAGAGGCAACAAAGAGACCAAAGATAACCCTGAAGGAGCTGCAAAGCTCCACAGCGGAAATTGGAGTATCTGTCCATAGGACCACTTTAAGCCGTACACTCCACAGAGCTGGGCTTCACGGAAGAGTGGCCAGAAAAAAGCCATTGCTTAAATAAAAGAATAAGCCAAACATAGCTTTTTGGCCATCAAGGAAAACGCTATGTCTGGTGCAAACCCAACACCTCTCATCACCCCGAGAACACCATCCCCACAGTGAAGCATGGTAGTGGCAGCATCATGCTGTGGGGATGTTTTTCATCGGCAGGGACTGGGAAACTGGTCAGAATTGAAGGAATGATGGATGGCGTTAAATACAGGGAAATTCTTGAGGGAAACCTGTTTCAGTCTTCCAGAGATTTGAGACTGGGACGGAGGTTTACCTTCCAGCAGGACAATGACCCTAAGTATACTGCTAAAGCAACACTCGAGTGGTTTAAGGGGAAACATTTAAATGTCTTGGAATGGCCTAGTCAAAGCCCAGACCTCAATCCAATTGAGAATCTGTGGTATGACTTAAAGATTGCTGTACACCAGCGGAACCCATCCAACTTGAAGGAGCTGGAGTAGTTTTGCCTTGAAGAATGGGCAAGAATCCCAATGGCTAGATGTGCAAGCTTATAGAGACATACCCCAGGATACTTGCAGTTGTAATTGCTGCAAAAGGTGACACGACAAAGTATTGACTTTGGGGGAGTGAATAGTTATGCACGCTCAAGTTTTCAGTTTTTTTGTCTTATTTCTTGTTTGTTTCACAATAAAAAATATTTTGCATCTTCAAAGTGGTAGGCATGTTGTGTAAATCAAATGATACAAACCCCCCAAAAATCCATTTTAATTCCAGGTTGTAAGATAACAAAATAGGAAAAATGCCAAGGGGGGTGAATACTTTCGCAAGCCACTCTATTATCTGTATGTGATTGGCAACACAAGACTGATTCACCGTTATGTTTCACACTTCTAAATCACTGAGGTGAATGATTCCTTGGCTACCCCCACCTTCCTATCTCAAATGGCTTTAGATTTAGACTCTGGGGAGGTAGGCTATGGATTTGGGGCTGAGGCAGATGAAGTGTGAAGGACTTGATTCAGGAGCAGGGGATGTGTTTGTATAAATGATTCAGGAGCAGGGAGGTGTCAGTATAAATGATTCAGGAGCAGGGAGGTGTCTGTATAAATGATTCAGGAGCAGGGAGGTGTCTGTATAAATGATTCAGGAGCAGGGAGGTGTCTGTATAAATTATGTGTTACACCTCATCCTTCCCAGAGGATGGCGAGACAACCAAGCAAAGTAAATATCCTCTGAAACAAACAAAGGGCTGCGCTGACAGCTAATCCCCGGGCTATCTCAGTGTGTGTGTGTGTGTGTGTGTGTGTGTGTGTGTGTGTGTGTGTGTGTGTGTGTGTGTGTGTCTCTATTCCTGCGTGGCTGTGTGTTTCCGTCCCTTCATGAAACTTACTTTAAAGGTTTTGCCTCAGGCCTAGTGTGTATGTCTCTGAATGTCACTATGTTGGTGTGTCTCATCTCTCTTTCCCTCTCTGTGTTTTTCCACCAGGGTGTCTGCGAGACCTGAGGCTGAATGGGAGGCCCATGCCCATGGCCAAGCAGCCCTCCATAGTGTCCGAGGAGCTCCAGGTGATCACGTCCCAGGGGGTCTCCCCAGGTTGCCCCTCAGATGCCTGCAGGAAACACCAGTGCTCTCCCCCCTTCATATGTGTGGACCTCTGGAGGAAACATGAGTGCAGGTACATAAATGATGGCAGCAAAACTTGATTATACTGAACTGGCCCAAATCCCTGACACTCAAAGAGGAAGGAGACAGTGCTAGAGGTCGGCGTGCGGGATACCTGACGAGATTTAAATCCGTTTTACCTAATTTCTACCAGCATGTCACCTGTGCAACTAGAGGCGAAAAAGCTCTAGATCACCCTTACTCCACACACAGAGAAGCATACAAAGCTCTCCCTCGCCATCCATTTGGCAAATCTGACCATAGCTCTATCCTCCTGATTCCTTCTTACAAGTAAAAACTTGAACAGGAATTACCAGTGACTCGCTCAATACGGAAGTGGTCCTGACTGGAATATGTTCCGGTATTCATGGGATTCATCCGATGGCATTGAAGAGTTTACCACATCAGTCACCGGCTTCATTAAAACACTACTGGTCAAACGTTTTAGTACACCTACTCATTCAAGGGTTTTTCTTTATTTTTACTATTGTCTACATTGTAGAATAATAGTGAAGACATCAAAACTATGAAATAACACATATGGAATCATGTAGTAAACAAAAAAGTGTTAAACAAATCAAAATATATTTTATATTTGAGATTCTTCAAATAGCCACCCTTTGCCTTGATGACAGCTTTGCACACTCTTGGCATTCTCTCAACCAGCTTCACCTGGAATGCTTTTCCAACAGTCTTGAAGGAGTTCCCACATATGCTGAGCACTTGTTGGCTGCTTTTCCTTCACTCTGTGGTCCGACTCATCCCAAACCATCTCAATTTGGTTGAGGTCAGGGGATTGTGGAGGCCAGGTCATCTGATGCAGCACTCCATCACTCTCCTTCATGATAAAATAGCCTGGAGGTGTTTTACACCGGTATAATGTCCATTGCTTGTGTTTCTTGGCCCAAGCAAGTCTCTTCTTCTTATTGGTGTCCTTTAGTAGTGGTTTCTTTGCAGCAATTTGACCATGAAGGCCTGATTCACACAGTCTCCTCTGAACAGTTGATGTTGAGATGTGTATGTTACTTGAACACTGTGAAGCATTTATTTGGGCTGCAATTTCTGAGGCTGGTAACTCTAATGAACTTATCTGCAGCAGAGATAACTCTGGGTCTTCCATTCCTTTGGCGGTCCTCATGAGAGCCAGTTTCATCATAGCGCTTGATGGTTTTTGCGACTGCACTTGAAGAAACTTTCAAAGTTCTTGAACTGTTCCCTATTGACTGACCTATCTTCTGTATACCCCCCCTACCTTGTCACAACACAACTGACTGGCTCAAACGCATTAAGAAGGAAAGAAATTCCAAAAATTGACTTATAAGAAGGCAAACCTGTTAATTGAAATGCATTCCAGGTCACTACCTCATGACGCTGGTTGAGAGAATGACAAGAGTGTGCAAAGCTGTCATCAAGGCAAATGACAGGCAAAATATATTTTGATTTGTTTAACACTTTTTTGGTTACTACATGATTCCACATGTGTTATTTCATAGTTTTGATGTCTTCACTATTATTCTACAATGTAGAAAATAGTAAAAATAAAGAAAAACCCTTGAATGAGTAGGTGTTGTAAAACGTTTGACCAGGAGTGTATTAATGAAGCCGGTGACTGATGTGGTAAACTCTTCAATGCCATCGGATGAATCCTATGAATACCAGAACATATTCCAGTCAGAACCACTTCCGTATTGAGCGAGTCACTGGAATTTCCTGTTCAAGTTTTTACTTGTAAGCAGGAATCAGGAGGATAGAGCTATGGTCAGATTTGCCAAATGGATGGCGAGGGAGAGCTTTGTATGCTTCTCTGTGTGTGGAGTAAGGGTGATCTAGAGCTTTTTCGCCTCTAGTTGCACAGGTGACATGCTGGTAGAAATGAGGTAAAACGGATTTTAATCTCATCAGGTATCCCGCATGCCGACCTCTATAGCACCGTCTCCTTCCTCTTTGAGTGTCAGGGATTTGGGCCAGTTCAGTATAATCAAGATTTGACCGGTAGTGTAAGTGCATCGACGACGTTGTCCCCACAGTGATCGTACGTACATACTCAAATCAGAAGCCATGGATTACAGTTAACATCTGCACTGAGCTAAAGGTTAGAGATGCCGCTTTCAAGGAGCGGGACACTAAATAGGATACTTATAAGAAATCCCACTACGCCCTCCGACGAACCATCCAACAGGTAAAGCATCAATACAGGACCAAGATCAAATCCTACTATACCGGCTCTGATGCTCGTTATCTAGGCAAGTCAGTTAAGAACAAATTCTTATTTACAATGACAGCCTATCCCAGCCAAACCCGGACGACGCTGGGCCAATTGTGCGCCGCCCTATTGGACTCCCAATCACAGCCGGATTGTGATACAGCATGGAATCGAACCAGGGTCTGTAGTGACGCCTCTAGCACTGAGATGCAGTGCATTATACCGCTGCGCCACTCAGGAGCTCGAGTGGCATGTGGCAGGGCTTGCAAACTGTTATGGATTACAACGGGAAACCCAGCTGTGAACTGTCCAGTGACGCTAGCCTACCAGATGAGCTAAATACCTTCTATGTTTGCTTCGAGGCTAGCAACACTGAATCATGCATGAGAGCACCAGCTGTTCCGAACAACTGTTTGATCACACTCTCTGTAGCCAATTTGAATAAGTCCTTTACACAGGTTAACATAATATTCACAACACCGCAGGGCCAGATGGATTACAAGGACGCGTACTCAGAGCATGCGCTGACCAGCTGGCAAGTGTCTTCACTGATATTTTCAACCGCTGCCTCACCCAGTCTGTAATACCTACATGTTTAAAGCAGACCACCATAGTCCCTGTGCCCAACATTGCCAAGGTAACCTGTCTAAATGACTATTGTCCAGTAGCACTCACATCTGTAGCCATGAAATACTTTGAAAGGCTGATCAGTGGTCATGGCTCACATCAACACCATCATCCCAGACACACTGGACCCACCCCAATTCACATACTGCCCCCAACATATCCACAGGTGACGCAATCTCTATTACACGCCACACTGTCCTTTCCCATGTGGACAAAAGGAAGACCTACGTGAGATGCTGTTCATTTACTAGAGCTCATGATTCAAAACCATAGTCCCCGCCAAGCTCATTACTAAACTAAGGACCCTAGGATTAAACACCTCCCTCTGTAACTGGATCCTGGACTTCCTGACAGACCGCCCCCCAGGTGGTGAGGATAAGCAACAACACATCCACCACACTGACCCCCAACACGGGGGACCATCAGGTGTGCGTTCTTAGTCCTCTCCTGTACTCCCTTTTCACCCACGACTACGTGGCCACGCACGATTCCAACACCATTATTAAGTTTGCCGACGACACAACGGTGGTAGGCCTGATCACCGACTATGAGGCAGCAGCCTCTCCCTCAATGTCAGCAAGACAAAGGAGCTGATCGTTGTCAACAGGAAACAGAGGGCCGAGCACGCCCCCATCCACATCGACGGGGCTGTAGTGGAGCAGGTTGAGAGCTTCAAGTTCCTCAGTGTCCACATCACTAAGGAATTATCATAGTCTACACACACCAACACAGTCATGAAGAGGGCCACGACAATGCCTATTCTCCCTCAGGAGGCTGAAAAGATTTGTCATGGGACCTCAGATCCTCAAAAAGTTCTACAGCTGCACCATTGAGAGCATCTTGACTGGCTGCATCACCGCTTGGTATGGCAACTGCTTGGCATCCGACAGTAAGGCGCTACAGAGGATAGTGAGTATGGCCCAGTACATCACTGGGGCCGAGCTCCTTGCCATCCAGGACTTCTATACCAGGCGGTGTCAGAGGAAGGCCCTAAAAATGATCAAAGCCACCCAAGTCATAGACTGTTCTCTCTGCTACAGCACGGCAAGGGGTACCAATGAGTCTGGAACCGACATGACCCTGAACAGCTTCTACCCCCAAGGCATAACACTGCTAAATAGTTAGTCCGGGTAGCTATTGGTTAACTATTTAACTATCTGCATTGACCCTTTTCGCATTAACTAATTTGACTTATCACATACGCTGCTGTTACTGTTTATTATCTATCCTGCATAGTCACTTTATCCCTACCTATATGTACAGTGAGGGAAAAAAGTATTTGATCACCTGCTGATTTTGTACGTTTGCCCACTGTCAAAGAAATGATCAGTCTATAATTTTAATGGTAGGTTTATTTGAACAGTGAGAGAACGAATAAAAACAAAACAATCCAGAAAAACGCATTTAATTTTTTTTTTAAATTGATTAGCATTTTAATGAGGGAAATAAGTATTTGACCCCCTCTCAATCAGAAAGATTTCTGGCTCCCAGGTGTCTTTTATACAGGTAACGAGCTGAGATTAGGAGCACACTCTTAAAGGGAGTGCTCCTAATCTCAGTTTGTTACCTGTATAAAAGACACCTGTCCACAGAAGCAATCAATCAATCAGATTCCAAACTCTCCACCATGGCCAAGACCAAAGAGCTCTCCAAGGATGTCAGGGACAAGATTGTAGACCTACACAAGGCTGGAATGGGCTACAAGACCATCGCCAAGCAGCTTGGTGAGAAGGTGACAACAGGTGGTGCGATTATTCGCAAATGGAAGAAACACAAAATAACTGTCATTCTCCCTCGGCCTGGGGCTCTATGCAAGATCTCACCTCGTGGAGTTGCAATGATCATGAGAACGGTGAGGAATCAGCCCAGAACTACACGGGAGGATCTTGTCAATGATCTCAAGGCAGCTGGGACCATAGTCACCAAGAAAACAATTGGTAACACACTACGCCGTGAAGGACTGAAATCCTGCAGCGCCCGCAAGGTCCCCCTGCTCAAGAAAGCACATATACAGGGCCGTCTGAAGTTTGCCAATGAACATCTGAATGATTCAGAGGAGAACTGGGTGAAAGTGTTGTGGTCAGATGAGACCAAAATCTTTGGTATCAACTCAACTCGCCGTGTTTGGAGGAGGAGGAATGCTGCCTATGACCCCAAGAACACCATCCCCACCGTCAAACATGGAGGTGGAAACATTATGCTTTGGGG